TAACTTACCTCGTAAGTATTAGTAGGTATAACTTATTATATATTAAATATTACTACGTATACTACTAGCGTATAATAAGTATTAGTTAGTCTCTTGTATAAATATATATATATATATATATATATATATATATATATATATATATTATACAATCCCATACTGTGAATTCATTCCCTTAGGTAAAACCTTGTCTAAGAGAAATTTTGGGATCCCAAATTTTTTTACTTCCAAGTTTTTTTATTTCCTTAGTCCACATATTGATGATTGAAGGTTTTTTTTAACGAGCAAAGATCAAGGCATGCACATCCAATCAAATGTTGTTCAGTTGCTCCATCCTAAAGTCATTTTTTGGCCAATAGATTATGGCTAAAATTAGATGGTTATAAATAATTGTAACCTCCTTGTATCAAAAGTAAATGGTCTCATTGTAGATTATATACTCTGGCAAGAGCATATATTACACTCACTTCACAGTGTAAACTTTATTTTGGAGTAATTTGTTAGCACACAAATTTTTGGGGATGTAAGCTCTTCGAGCCAGCAATCAACCATAAAACAAACACACACACAAAATTTATATGTTGCTAAAAAAACAGAAGAAATGTATTAGTACATAGAGATAAACAAATTTTTTTATTCATATCTATTTGTTTGGGAACTTAAATTCCTCTATTCCCCCCCTAAAAATGCACATTTTAGTGATTATAAAGTACATGAGTAGGTATTTGCTTGAAGGAGTAAGTACATACTGTGCTCTAGTGGGGGTATGCTAAGCATGCTAAATTACTCTATAGTGTGCTCTCATGGGAATACGTTATACACCATCCATAAAGTCATGATGCCAGATTAAATGGGCTGAACCTTTTAATCTAGGGTCGTTTATCAAAATGCACTTCACTTTTCAACTATTTAACATTTTATCTTTTTTCTACTATTTTAGGTCAAAATCATGCGTATTTTGATAGGCATTTTAAAATTAAATCAAAACAAGCAAAAATGTTAAATAATCAACATCTTATGTGTATTTTGATAAATTTCCCCTTAAATCTATTTTCACTTGGTATATTTCACAAACAACTATGTATATTCATAGGATTGTATACTACAACATGCTTACTTTAAACAGAAGAATATCACAATCATTTTTAGCAAATAGATGTGAATTATGTAGCTAGGGGTGTGTCATTTTCTACGCAAAGTTAGAGAGATGTTTTGTGAGACTGTAACTGCAGCCAACAAAATATTACAAACTGCTACGCAAAGTTAGAGAGATATTTTGTAAGACTGTAACTGCAGCCAACAAAATATTAATATTACAAACTGCTTGATTTCGTATTTGATAGCTAAAGGTAACTGCAACAAAAATAATTACACTTTCTTTTTATTTTAGGAGAGAGTTGATTCCTCACTTTCAACTTTTGGCAGAGCTGAACAGAACTCCAGGAAGATTCATCGAGGGGTATAGATGGATCGAAATCATCTCTTGCTCTTACTGCAGCTGTGGAGGAGGTTAGGACCACACGTTTGATCGATGGGTTCCTTTTGCAACACCGTAGCACATTTAGCGTGCCATTAACAGCGGGATCCAAGATCTCTGTCTGCATAATCAAGAATCAAGTTTGCATATTTTTACAGAGAAAGATTAAAATGAAGGCTAAACATTCAAGCCCATGTTGAACAAAACTAATTATGTACATATCGTGTGTACGAATGGGTGGAAAATGGCTTTATCAGTGTCTGTGTAGTGTTTTTGATAGGGAGAGATCAATGGCCAGATTATGTATTCCATCTGTAGTTTTTAAGTGAAAGAGAGACACTTCACTTTTATTTCACATTGTCAAGAAAAATAAAAATAAAATAAAAATAAATCAAAAGAGAGAGAGACTTTGTGGAGAGAGAGAGAGGGGTAGGTGCCTTTAGATCTAAATCTGCCACAACAATCGGAGAAGCCACATGGAAAACACCATGACAACCATCAAAGGCTTGGTCAAAGCTTCCTTCCTCTAAAAGATCAGCTTTCACCAATTGTAGCCTCTCCTTTGCACTCTCCAACTCCAAAAGATGCCCCACTTTCTTGTAATTTCCTACCCACCGCCATCACAACAACAAATTAGTACAGGACGCGGTTAGCATGCGGGCCACCGCCGCACATGTAGAAACTTGGGCCTCTTAATAAATCTATTTTTGAGATGGATTTTTAAAAAAATTCCGTTATTACAAAATACCATTTAGTTTCTATTATTACAGATAGGGTGCAGTTTGTATAAAGCCCAGGCTCTAAACAATCAAATTAGAGCCTACCTTCAAATATTGTCGAGAAATGTGGTCTCAATACTGAAAATCATTGTGATAGCCTTAAAATATATTTTTATCTTTATTTATAAAGTTTAAAGCTTCAAAAATAGTGTAGATCGATATATCTATGAAAACTTGAAAATTGACAGTCCAAAAATGCATTACAAAATACACTATTTCCAAAACTTGAAATCTATTTTTTTCTCATGTCCACACATCTTGATGTTTAGATGGTTAATTTGAGGATATTTGGGCATCAAAACAACTTCTTCTAGTGAGTAGGCTCTAATTTGATTGTTTAGAGTCTCAACTCTGTATAAACATTTCCCTTACAGATATATCCGTTTTTTGAACTTCGTAACACTTTTTTTAAAAAAAAGACGAAACTGTCTATTTTCTATTTTTTAAAAAAAACATTTGAACCGTTAGTTTCATGGAGGTCATGAATATGAATAAATAAATAAATTTTAAAAATTAGAAATAATAATTATATTAAAAAAACATTTGGACCAGTAGTTTCAATTGTTTTTAGATGAACCACATATTTGCATCCATCTTTAAGATGGATGCTTTATAATTCTGGACAGCATATGTAGAAATGCGGTCAAGCCCGCATGAAACAATTTTCCATTAGTAAATATTAACCAACATAGATCATTGTCCCATGGTTTCTACGAGTCCACGGATTCACATGTAGAAGTGCAGGGCCCTTAATAATTTATCTTTGAAATAAAATTTAGTCCTAATTTTTAGGAAAGACATAATCATTAACATGTGGATTATTAATCTGTAAATAGAAACAAATTTTTAAAATTAGAAATGATATCTTTTGAAGAAAATATTTGAACAATTGATTTTACTTTTTCTTTAGAGGACTGTTATTTATGGTGAGATCTACACTTTCTTTAATGGACGGTGTAGATCTCCAAGCCCGCATAGTAACAGGTGTGGGCTTGGATGCACCAAACAAATCTCCTTGCAATTTACCATAACTTATTTACTGTTCATATACAACATACATAGTCACCTGCATGAGCATACTATACACTTACTTTCTTGGGCAACAGATTTATTACTTTGTAAGAGTTTCACAACATAAAATTTTGGGATCCACCTTAGAATAACAAGAGTATTTTCAAGAAAGATAATTGGATATTGAGTTTTTAAACACTAAGATTTGTCCCTTCAAAAATTAAATGGCCCATTTTCACTCTCAAGACCCTGTTTTTTCTCTTTATGCACAGAGTATGAGTAATTGTTGTTTATTTAATTATTTATGTTTAGGTTGGTTGCTAGGTTTACATGGTTACAACACCAAGAATTTAGGGTCTTTCAACTCCAGGATGGAATTTTACTTGATGACATGCTCCAGCGGGAGCATATAATCATTTGTATAAACCATAAAATAGCCATAAAAAAAATAAGTATAAGAAAAATTAGGGGATAAAGCTGAGGTGTCTATATTAGCTATAAACCCAGGTATTGCCATGAAAAAAAGCAAGAAATCTAAGAAAAATAAGGGAAGAAGCTGAACCTGGATCCCTCACAGTTCCTATGACATTATAACCAAGCAATAACAGCTTCTTAACAAGCCAAGAAGCAAGATACCCTGAGGCCCCTGTTACACAAACTTTCCCTTTGGGGAGTTCCATGACTAAATATATATTAAATTGATAGCTGTGCATCTATATATATATAGTCCTTGGAGGTTTTTATTTTACTTTTTTATCTATTTTTTAATTAGATGGATTGGTATTGTTAAATGCAGGTTTAAGAAATATAGATCATCTCATGTTCATGCATATGAGTAGGTAGATCACGATCAAAGAGAAAAAAAAAAACAACATAATTAGGCCAGAGGCAAGAAGCTTGTGATGGTGTGGTTGGGTTTTAGGGTTCATAAAGTGCAATGCATTCTTGTTTATTTCTAAGTTAATGAGAAAACTTCCAATGGAATATGCATGGATGTTAATTATAGGGGTAGGGTTTTAGGTGCGTCTGGGCCTGTTACAGTGACTCCACCTTACCTTAAATCTAGTGTTTCAAAACCCAGATTGGTGGGGCTGTTCATTCACTCACATATTTATGTCGGATTACTAGTACCGCAATTCAGATTGGACCAAGAATGGTGACGCAAAAAATATATTTTAAAGGATAAAATTAAAATTAAAATAGGGGTTCATGATATTGGGATTTAGAGGGGACCTAAAAAAACATTAGACAAGCTACAAAAAAACAAAAACAAAAAGGTTTTAGGGGGGGACAAGACCGAGACCTATACAATCTCATAACTGGTTCGAAATTGATTCGTATCTAAATCAACAACCTAACTCGAAAATTATAACGTTTTAAAACACTGCTTGAACCTAAAATTTTGCAGGTCTATTATCTAGCAGACCACGATCTTCAATTTGAAAAGAAAAATTGATTTTTAAACCTCAGTAGTGTACTTAAGTTTTAAATTCTTCAAAGATCATTAGATCTAGATTGTTTTTGGAGTTCCAAATTTATAGGTTTGAGGCGGAAATGAATTTAAAGTGAGTGTGTGTTTTGGGTCTTAAATAATTCATAAACCAAAGTTGACAATCAGTCTGCCACCTCACCAAATATCTTTCATCATTTCATCATCCGAATACAGTACCACTATTTGGGGTCGTCAAATATTTGTTCTCAGGGTGAAAAAAGTAAATAGAAAAACTAAAAATAAAAGTATAAATTCAAGAACATTCTTACACAAGGAAAAATCATCATACTTTGTGTTTGAACAATGGCATACAAAATTGGTATATAGATTACTACCCTAGAATTTGGAGTTGTGATAGTTTCCAGTTTTGGGCATTCAAACCATTAGTACAAAATAAAGTTAGTGATAAAAATAAATGGATGCAATAGAACTCAGTAATGGCAAGTCCCATCCATTTATTTATTTATTAATTTATTTTTGGGTAATTTAATGAAAAAGTGATACAAGTAATATTAGGGTTATTTTAATTTTTAATTATCATTTTGTTTATCTCTTCAGGAATAGGGTGCACAGGGATAATTAGGTGGGCATGAATTTATCGAATTTATCTTGTCCATATTGATCAATTGGATTGGATTAGTTTTTAGGAGTATAAATAGACAAGGTTAAATTATGAGAGCTAGTTTAAAAATATAAAAGGACAAGGTTAAATAAAAAGTAGTTTTTAGGTTTTTGATAAAAGGAAATAGTACATGAGGTTAAGGGAAGAGAAAGAAAATAGATAAGAAGAGATAAAATAGGAAAAGTGTAGAGCGAGTTTTTATTGTTAATGTTTATATTATTTTTTAGTCTATTTAAAAGGAGGTTTTCCTTCATTATAAAATAGGTGGATGAGTTAATAAAATTTTGTCTCATTAAGATATTATTTTAAGATTTTGAGATATGGTATATTCTCTCAACCTCTCGCAGACCTTGAGAGTTCTCTCAACCTCTTGCAAACCTTGAGATAGGTATATTCTCTCAACCTCTCATAGACTTTAAGATAGGATATATTCTCTCGCAAACCTTGAGATAGGGTATATTCTCTCAACCCTTCGCAGATATTGAGATAGGGTATATTCTCTCACCGACCTTGAGATAAGGTATATTCTCTCAACCTCTTGCAGACATTGAGAGTTCTCTCAACCTCTCGCAGATCATGAGATAAGGTATATTCTCTCAACCTCTCTCAGATATTAAGAGATGGTATATTCTCTCAACCTTTTATTTTTATTTTTTTTGGTTTTATTTTTAACATAAAAAAGACAAACCTCTACCTGTTTTTTCATGTAGATTAGGAATTAGCTTTTTAAAAGTATTAGTGATGTGGTATTAGTGGCGGGAATAAAAGCTATAATGTGGTGACTAGGATATGGTGTGATACTACTAAGGCCCCAACCCCATTCCCAAGTGCCATTGTAGACATGATCATAATATCCAACTTCCCCATAATAGTTATTTTACAAAAATATCATTTAAGGTGCCCTAACTCCTCACAAAAATCATCAAGGGGATCAAAACCATTGAAGAAAAAATCAGGTGGTCTAATTGGTAACCGCCTAGTAAGATCAAAACCGGCCAGTGCCTAGTTAGATCGAAACCGGCCACTGGCCAATTCGGGTTTCAGCCAGATATTATACAAAATCCCAAAAAATAGGGGATTTTATTTGCAATGTTTTCTTCAATGCTTTCCATCATTACGGTAAATATTGAAAATTATTTTGGCCATATCTATTTATTTATTTATTTATTTATTTTTACATTTTTTTTATCTATTTAAAAATTTTCAAAAATACCCCCGAACACAAATCGATTATTTAATATCCTTTTTTTTCATTAGTTTTCAACTTCATTTGGATGTGTTGTATTTAATCATTCTTCAAATATACTTTTCATATTTTATTAGATATTTTTTATATATTTTTTAACACTTTTTAGACCTCCCAGGACTTGCTCGGTTAGAACAGGTGAACCGACCGGTTTACCGCTTAGGTTGGTTGAACTGTTTCCATGCCCATTTTCAATGAACCGTTCCGGTTTGATTTTTCCTACACTTCTCTAAATTGAACTTGATTTTCTTATATAAATCAATTTCTTTGCTACATAGGTCCGTCCATCAAGAATATCTCTTTAATTTCTGAAGTGCCGTAGTTCTGAAGCTAGAGGTGACATTGGCCCAGGTAGCTGATCCCGGGAGCTTGGGGCCCAACCCGGCTGGCTCTCGGGGCACATTTTATGGCCGGGGACGGCCCGGCCCGGCCCGGCCGTATTTTTCTTTAAATTCCCTTGACCATCCACCTAGCACATTGCCAGCATTACGTGAAGCAAAATTATTTATAATAGGGATAGGAAATTATAAATTAAATATAGATATCGCTCTAAACAACTTCCCAAGGTTATGATATTTCACTCCGATATGGGAATTACTATTCTGACCCATTTCGGCCAAGTAACACGAGCCCTATAATGCCACATGCGGCTTCGTTGGAATTTGGCAAGTGAAGGCAAAAAAAATGACTCCGACGCCAAGCACGAACCGGAATGGTTAATTAAATATGGGCCTTACTCCGGGTAGTCAAAAAAGTGTTAAAAAATAAAAAATATTTTTTTTTAATAAAATATAAAAAATACACTTAAAGTATGATTAAACAAAGCACATCCAAATGAAGTTTAAAATTAATGAAAAAAACGAATTTTAAAAAATAAATTTGTGTCCAAAGGTATTTTTGAATTTTTTTTAAAAAAGAAGGGAAAACGTAAAATACGCATTAATGGCCAAAACAATTTTCAATGCCAAAATGATGAAAAACATTAAAAAATTCACATTGCAAACAAAATTCTTTATTTTTTGGGATTTTATATAAATTTTTTTTAAAAAGAATTAAAATATCCGGCCGGTTCACCAAAACAGGCCGAAACCGGAACCAGCCAATGGCCAGTTCTGATCTAACCGAATGATTAGAATTTCAACCGCCCGATTTTTCCTACACTGCTGGGTCCGTTATCCCTTCCTGCATACTCAAGTTCGCATATCATATTAGAGATAATTAAGTTGGCAGCCTACATCATATTAGAGAGAGAAAAAAAGAGAGTGAGAGAGACCTCAATTTATGTCCAATTTCTCCTTATACGTAATAACAAGTTAGGATTGGTTGTGTGTGTGGAGAGAGAGAGATTTGTTTATAGGCCTTATCCAATACTAGCCGACGCAAACATGATTGTATGCCCAAGGCTCAAAAGCTACATTCATCTTTCCATCCAATTCAAAACAATTCATGCATGCATGGTAAGAAAGAAAGATAGAACTTTAGATTAGACCCCAGGTGCAATAACAGGGGAAGCCAAGCAGAAAACACCATCACTCCTTCAAAGGCCTTGTCAAAACTACCATTCTCCAATAGATAAAATTGAAACACCTTTGGCCACCTTCCTGTAATTTCGTAACCACCACCATAGTATCATCACCATAAATTAGTAAACAGACCAGAGAAGGAAAAAGTTGAAATTGGGTAGGTCTTGCTAAGGTCCAATCCTCAGTTATCTGCTCCAACTGGGGTGAGTGTGTGCCAGAATGGGCAAGTTTTATCAAAAGAACTTCAAAAAATTATTAAAAAACAGTAGAGTCGGTCAATTCCAGGGTTTTTCGACCCTGGTGATTCCAAGTCAAGACGGGCTATTCATTAACCAGTTCCCTTGACACTAAAAAGTTATAAAGCAAACTGATAAACAGAGAAACATATTTAAAGAAAGTTGAAGAGATTGAAGAGTGGAGGCACTAAACATAGAGCAAACAGAAAAATATGCAACTACTTATTTTCCTTTCAAATGTAAGTACACAACTATTTATAACCCTGAGGTTGAAAAGACTTGGAAATGGACCAAAGAAAGGGTGGATTGACCAGCTTTCATGATTGTAAGCAATGGGTACAATAATGGTGAATGTGAGGTAAAAGAGGTGATTACAATGACAGAACAATAAAAAGAGTTGGAAGGAGGTGGTGCAGTTAGCTATCAAAAAAGGCAAAGTTAAGAACAGTGGGTCTGAGAAAGGAACCCTATGCAGGTGCAGTAGAGATGTTGGTTTTAAAGGTTTCAGAAAATGTATAACTGCTTTGTATTGAGTGGTAAAGTTTTGAGGGAAAATTCATCAAGAAAGAAACAACAATGGCAACAATAAAAGGTACATACATACATAGTTAAGTAGGAAACTGAATAACAAAATCATTAAATATCAATGGTACGAGGGGACTAGAAATTTTATGATCGATTAATGATAGAAAAGAGGCCCATAAGAATATGGTTGGAAGTAGTGAGAAAAGATATAGGGGACTTATGATATCACTGAGGATATGGTCCTTGATAGAGCAGAATGGCGGATCAGGATTCGTATAGCCAAACTCCAAATAATTGGGAAAAGGCTATGATGATAATTAACCCAAAAAAAAAGATAATCATTTTTTTTTTGGGTGACTAGAAAAGATGATCAATTGAACATTGAGGGATCATAATCAAGGATCAGAAGACATATAACTATTTATAGAACACATTATTACATAAAGACAAAGGATCCATTGGGAAAATTTGAAGAACAAATTAATTCACCCAACAATAGCTATCAAAGGTATTAACACACAATATAATGCACAAAGATGAGTCATGAATCCACAATACAAACTATTGTTTTCAAAGCTCTCTCTCTCTCTCTATATATATATATATATCTATATATATATATATATATATATATGCACAAAGATGAGTCACAAATCCACATTACAAACTACTGTTTTCAAAGCTCTCTCTCTCTCGCTCTCTCTCTTTCAGACCCTGATATCTGTTTGGGGAGAAACCGGTTTCTGCCGGTTAAGCAGAAATGCATGTACAAACAAAATGTTTTGGGTGATATATATTTTAAAGAAAGCATCTTTTGGGGACTAATCAACACTTAAATAGTTCAGCTACAAATTATAAAATGTGACGGGAATTCAAGGACATGGAGCAACTTCCCATAAGCCCTCCTAGTTATCGATACATTAACATTCTTTAATTTAATCACTGCTGAATTCTTTAATTTAAGTAAGCAACCCAAGATTGCCCAAAGTAAGATGAGTAAGCTATTGAAGCCCAAGTGTTTTAAAGAAAGCATCTTTTCAGGACCAATCAACACTTAAACAGGCTAGCTACAAATTATAAAAGGTGATGGGAATGCAAGGACATGAGCAACTTCCCATAAGCCCTCCTAGTTGTCAATACATTAAGACTCCTTACTTTAATCACTACCCAATTCTTTAATTTAAGTAAGCAACCCATGGTTGCCCAAAGTAAGATGAGTACAAGCTATTGAAGCATAAGTACTTAGAGAAGGCCAACGGGTAAGGACAATGGATGATGCATAACATAGAGAGGCAAAGACAAAAGAGACAGACAATTCAACAACAAAAGGGCTTCAATCAGAAGTTTGTTATTGCTGTTATTATCCTTATAGCTGTACACTGTACAAAGTGAATCGAAACTTGACGATTCCAACTCAGAGTTTCCCAAGTTACTTTGTCGAGTCTGAACCATGGGAACTGGTTAAGTCTAGCTGATTACCAATATTTTATTAGTTTTTTAGGACTCAGCCAAGTCTCTGACAATCTCGACGCAACCTGAGTTTCTGGAATCAGGCTCCCGACCGAGTCCTTGTTTGAAACCACTGGGTATATGTACAGAAAATTTAAACATTGACGAGAGGCATAATATGCAAGAAAAGTATAGGTAAAAAACAACAAATTAAACAAAAAGGCATCTACATCAATCAGCACAGAATAAGATAAGAGATTTGCCTTAAACCATGGAATATTGAGATAGAGGAAGGCATTCAGCCCATCAGCCTCTTGTACATAAAATAATTCATCAGAATCACCAGAATATAATACACAAGATACCAGTTGGCGAGAGTAGAAAGTAAATGAAGGTAGACGAGCACAAACACATATTTCTGCTCATGCAGCTGCCTCATGCTATTTGATATCCCAACATTGAGTGCTTTTGTGTGTGTGTGTGTGTGTGTCTGTATGTGTGTGTGTAAGAGAGAGAGAGAGAGAGAGAGAGAGAGAGAGAGAGAGAGAGAGTAGATCAGGATTCACTAAACATTAAGGGCCTACACAGATCAATGTATAAAACTATATGCAAGGGGGAGTGGTTTAAGCACGAACATGATTGAGATAGAGTGATGCACTGATACTTGAAAAAGCTATCCAATAAAGGATAAAAGATCAACATGAACACAAACAAAATGTTACTCACCTGGCTCTTGATTTCATTTTGTTGATTACATTAGTATCAAAGTTTGTATACAGTGTATGGAATACACCAACTCAATCAAATCCATCAGTTTTTCTTTCCAAGAAAAATAAAACAATGAGGCTCATATGACCCAATCCCTTGTCTATCTAGCCTCAAATGTCACAGTTACCCCCTTCCTCCCCCGCAAGTTTTGAGCCCATTTCTCAGATTTCATCAAAACTCTTGACATTTCAACAGAAACCCACCTCATATCAGGCCTTTTCTTGGGGTCCAGATCCACACAAGAAGCAGCAATTTGAATAACTCTCTCTGCGCATTCAACTGGGTAAGAATCCTTCAATCTAGAATCTACCCATGTCCTCAACCTTAGTGGCTCAGCCAAAATTGAACCCACATTCTCAATAAGAGAAACCTTCTTGAACTCATTATTTTCTTTATCATGAACATATTTCACAGGCTCCTCACCTGACAAAATCTCTAAAACCACCACCCCAAAAGAGAAGACATCACTCTTTTGAGTGATAACCCCATCTGAAACATACTCGGGTGCCATATAGCCCTGTGTCCCTACAATCTTCCTACTACCATATCTTCTCACTCTACCCCCAAATTCAACTGAATTCTCCTCCATAATCTCAGATTTTGACCCCGAATGCTCTTCAAATTTCATAGGAAACTCCCCTGTTAAGATCGAAGCGCCAAAATTCGCCACCTTTGCCCGATATTCAGGCTCAAACACTATGATACTACTTCCTTTGAGATACTTATGAACATAGACGAGTGGGATATCATGATGCATATACTCCAAGGCCTTTGCTACATCTAGTGCTATTTGAATTCTTGAGACCCAACTAGATAGAACTGTAAAACCTGGAATTTTGCTACCTCTAAGACAATCTGAAAGGCTTAACCCGTCTTCAAATTCATAAACCAGAAAGATGGTTTCTCCTTCCAAACACCCACCAATGAGTTTGATCACTTCCTTGTGATGAATGCTGCATAGATCGCTCAAAACCGACTGGAACTCAATTGGGTATGTCACGTTTCTCTGTAAAACCGCGACTTGTTTCTCCCTCAAGGCACATTTCCAGGCCATAGAAGATCGGCCACCGAGCTTTTGGGATCGAAAGTTATTGGTGGCTCTGGAGATTTCAGAGAGGGAGAAGAGAATGGGTCTTTGAGGGAGTGAGGCCCTAAGGCTGGAGAGAGAAGTTGAGGAAGCTGAGGTGATTTGTGATTCTTTGGAGAAATTGCTAATATTCGTACCTGAGCTCAAATCTGTGCTTTTGCTCGTTGATACTCGGAATTTGGGGGATCTGGAAGATGGGTTCGGTCTCAAAGGAATTGGGCTCTGAACTTTTTCCAGTTTTTGGCCGCACATCACGTGTTAAGAGTTTAGAGCTTGATATTTTAGAAGAATAATGGAAGGAAAGCTGTAAAGTTGAGGAGGAAAGGACCAGACACTGGGTTGAAGAGAGAGATAAAGAAAATGACTAAGCCCAACAAGAACCCAATAAGAAAATTGTCATGACAAAAAGTTGGCTGAGGAAAAGGACCAAACCCAATAAGGAAATTTCCGAGAGAGAGAAAGTTATCTCGTGAGAAAGAGATCGTAAAAAGGCCTCACCCCAACAATGAACTGGCCCTGGTGTGATGTATAAACACTAGAGAGAGAGAGCGGGGAATTATATGATTCTATCCCTTCATGGAATTACATAAAAAGGCCTGAAAGTGATCACTTTGAGAAAGAAAGAGAAAGGCCCGAAACTGAGTGATCAAGGATATTGCAGAGTGCATGAAGCGAAGGAACAGTACAACTCTCTTAGACTCCTTAAGAAGAGACGTAAAAGACCAAAAGCATTAAACCGCCGCACTGAAACTGAGGTAATGTCAGCATTGTGGACCATCATCATCATTATCTATTCTGGGGATTCATTTTGGAGATTAATTATTAAAATCATTTAATATATTAATGTCAAATGTAACTATCATCATCTTATTTTTAGAAGATGAATGATCCTCCAGGACCCTCTTCCACCTATGTATATAGAACTTCAAATGATCTTCATTAATGTTATTACATACTTTTAAAAACTTTATTACATGGGTTCGGGACATGATTTTTCTAGAAATTCGTATCAATTTTAATGATGATTTTTTAGAGATCCTATACACATAAATGGGAGATGGTCCTATAGGATCATTTCTCTATTTTGAATTCATGAGAAATTTTGGTGGCTAATTATTAAAAATTAAGAATTTCAATTTTACCTAACCAAGACAAGAATGATCACAATCTCGAGACAATTTTGCAGAGCTCTTGGGTCTATATTAAGTTGCATACAATTGGTCTATTCAATTTAAGAGCCGTTTGGATACCTGAAAATATATTGTTTATGAAATATATTATGGACGAAATACATTTCCTGCAAATAGATTGTCACTGTTTGTTATATTTGACTAACATGATTAGACTTTGGTTTCAACATGATAAGTCATCGGAATAATATGATTGGAATAACATTATCTTATTGTGATAAGCCTTACTTTTATTTATTTTTTATAGAAGTATTTCAAATGTCTCTCTATATATAAATTCAATTAAACAATAAATTTATGATATCAAAATCAAAATATTTATTGTACTAGTTAAAAATGGGAAGAAGTTTGATTAGTAAACTAGAAGGTTTGGTAATTGCTATAGAAAATTTTAAAATATGTAAAGAGATTAAAGAGATATCTTATTTCAATTGAGCTTTTACTAATCTCTTATGAGGATTATGTTATGAAATTTTTTTATTATGATTGTGTTGTGTAATGTCTCAACAATTATTAATTATTATTTTTGGTTTTATATAAGAGTTGATGGCGACCTACAAACCAAATTGGGGATACAGGGATGTAGAAATTTTTTTTATTATGATTACAGTAGAAAAATGTCCCTTGTCTACAACACTTCAAATCGATTTAGATTTTCCCTTACTTTCACCTACCAATTATTAAAAAAATTTGTTTTTATATGAGAGTCAGATGATGGATACAACTGGATAGAGGGATGTAGAAATCTTTTTTTATGATTGCAGTAGAAAATTGTCCTCGTAAAACTGTTTAAATCAATTTAGGTATGGCGTATACTTGAAAGAGGGAAATGTTTTTTAAGCGGAATAAGGCAGAGAGAGCACACGAAAGATTTCCAAAGATCAACCGTCAACTTCTTAATAGATATTTCATCCCTCAGCGGATGTAATAAATTGCGTGTTTTTTTGGGAAATCTCAAAGATTATCCGTCAACTTCTTAATAGATATTTTACGCCTTCAACGGGTGTAATAGATTTCGTGATTTTTTTAAGAAATCTCGAATAATGTCTTTCCATTTACTTACTATTAAAGTATACATTGTCAAGTAATAAATTTCCACATAACCAAATGGCCCCTTAAGGGATAGGCGAGTTTTCATTTGTGATTTAGGGGATTCCTTAGGCCCTGTTTGATAATTGTTCTCTGAGAAAACGAGATAAAATCAGTTGCTTTCTCAATTGTCACATTTTTCCTGTTTGGAAAAAAGGGAAAGTGTGGAAATATAGAACCCCGTTGCTATACTTTTCCGCATTTTTGGGAAAAACTTTGGAAAAATGTGAGACCCCTTTGTTCCTTTTTTTTATTTATCAACCTCATAATCTTTCTCCATATCAATCTCTCTTTGGTCGAGCCCTAGCCCGATCTTTCTAGTTTTCGTATAGATGTTACCTAAAAAGGTTCCCAACTTCTCAAAGTTTTCTAAATCTATTTTTTCTCATGCTTCTAATTTCTCAAAGATTCACCAAAAAAAAAAACAATTTTCTTGAAAACCAAATATGAGGCTTCTTTCTCAAACATTATCCAAAAAAACAATTTTCTCGGTAACCCCTTTAGTCTGGAATGACTTTTGATGAATCGGTAGTCACACAATTTCCTTCCTTTTTAGGTGGTTTTTTTGTCCGCACACACCATTGATTTAGGGCTCATTTAAGGATATTTCATCGACAAATTAAAGCCCATGGGAAATTTTATATGATTTTTTTAGATCCGAATAAGACCATTGATTTAGGACTCATTTGAGGACATTTCATCGACAAATTAAAGCCCATGGGAAATTTTCCATGATCTTTTCAGATCCGAATAAGATTTTTTTTCAATATTTGAGGTGTGTTTTCTACTTTTTCTCTTCGTTCAAGCCCAAGTCCAAGTCCAACAAGGAATCTGGATTTTCAAACATGAACGAAAGAGCAAGTGAGAGTTTAGTGCTATATACCATTAGAGCCTACTTAGCTGACAATTAATTATGTGAAGGAAAATTTTTTGGTGCGGCCAAGCCTGCATCAGGTTGGAGATCTACACCGTCCACCAAAACAGGTCCCTTAAGTAATAGTCTTCTAAAGAAATTATAAAATCAATTGTTCAACTATTTTATCCAAAAAAATATTATTTCTAGTTTCTAAAAGTTGAAGATTAATAATCTCAATCTTAAAATTAAACTATTAAGGGGCACAACATGCGAGTATGTGGGCCGCATAATAACCACGTCCCTATCTGAAATAGTCTATTTTACCTAAAATTAATATGCTGATGATATTAATTTTTTAATAGTTTAATGTGCACCTTGTATTATATATAATATTATTTAAATATTTATTTTTTGTGATTTTTAACTAGTTTTATCTACTTTTGGCTACAAACATGTGATTTTCAATTAATTACTTTAAATAGAATAGAAACAGTTTTTCCAAATATATAATTTATATATAAAACTACATATAAACTTATAATAAATACGGTCAAACAACTGATACTTCATTGAAGTTGATTGTTGTGCATAAATACAGTATATTTTGGAAAGGTTAATGAGCTTTCATCAACTCAACGTCATAACAAGGAAAGCGTGTGGCTCCACTCAACCCCACAGTGCAACCTTTCCTAAAGGGCAAACTATTATGGAAGAAGACGAGAGAACTTGGTGAGAAACAGAGAGAGGAACTATGGAAGAAGAGAGACAAAGAAAGAGATTATGAAAAAAAAAAAGAGAAAAGATTTAGAGAGAGAAAACTTTTGACTTTTAAGTGAGATTAGTAGCACGATTCTTATTTGATGGCATTGTGACTTTTTTGTATAAAAAACAAATAATCTAATTATACAAATTCCAATAATCTAATACTTGATTCTTAGTCTTATTAATTGGGCAAGAATTACAAATCTATTATCCACGCCACGCTCTCGATCCTCCTGAATACCATTGTGGTGAAGAGCCTAAAATTGAAATGTTAGGGAATTTGGGTTGACACAAGATATTTACTATTTTATTATAAATTTCTTTACAATGTTATTTATTAGAAATTTCACAGATTGCCAAATATTTCTAGTAAAGTGTAAGGCAATTTTCACTATTTTTTCAAAATCAACCAAGAAAAGTGCAGAAGTACATAATAATCCGTTCACACTTGGCATAAAAGGGTAACAATCACTCCAACCCGTTCAGTGTAAAGTACTGAGCCTTAAAGTGTCATTTTTTTTTTTGGCAAGGTCAATAATTTTTATCGATAGAATGTTTTAAAAACATCATATTACAAATTAGGAATCAAGTAATCAGAAACAGACAAAGAGGACAAGGAGCTTCCCTGTTTGGCTAATCGATCAGCTACATCACAAGCCTTAGAGTACCACTGATGGCATTTGAAGTCCATGAAATTTTTCCTTACATTTTACAGAGATATGATACACCCTGCCACCTAATTTTACACGGCTTGGGGTATTTGTGACAAATTATGTATAAAAGGTAACATTTCATTGCATAAAATCCTGTGAGTAATATCGGGAGCTTTCTATGGGGCATTATACACATATAATGTGTCTAGCGGCTTACGAGATCTAGTATTGATCAAGCGTCTTTTTAACTATCTAACAATAATATCACACATTAATCACATCATAACAAGAACAATTGGCATTGTCCGACATTATATTGATCGGACTATTGTTAGTCCCCAAAAAAATATAAATTACATTCGAATAAAAACCCATAAAAAGACTTGAGGGGTAAAAGCCAGTATTTAAAGGATAGAAAATGTATTGTGTAAGCAATATATGTCGTGCCTCTTTTTTTATTGGGAATTTCATTATAATACCTAAACGAGATTAACTATTTACTATTTTTTCCCATTTGCAATTATTCCAACCCAAGGTTATGTTTTGGGTATTTTGAAATTAAATCAAAAGATATAAATAAGCTATTAAACTATTCATCTCTCGTGACTAATTTGATAAATTTCCCTTTTATCTATTCTTAATGGGATGTTAACCTTGTGAAGTGCTGCGGCTATGACCGCTATGCCCCAAACAATAATCAAACACAAAATCTCCATGTGTCCCTTGGTACCTATCAAACTATGCTTTAAAAATTCTCCAGGTGTATATTCTATCTACACATTCTACAAATGGGGAAAAAGATCATTGGCTAAACATTTCTTGCAACAGCCGGTTATCTTATTGACAAATGTGGATTACCTTAACGTGCAAAAAAAACACACTCCCTAAAATTTCACTAGAAGAGGTTGTATTTATGCCCAAATATCCTCAAATTGATCATCTCGACCTCAAGATGTATGGACACGAGAAAATAAATGGATTTCAAATTTTAGAAATAGTGCATCTTGCAAAGCATTTTTAGACCGTCAATTTTAAAGATTTTTGAATTTTCATAGATTTGCTCGATCTTCACTATTTTTTAAGCTTTATATCTATAATTAAAAATAAAAATATATTTTAAAGCTATCAAAAAGGTTTTCAATATTAAAACCATAATTCTCGACACTACTAAAGGTGAGCTCTAATTTAATGGTTTGGAGCCTCGACTATATACAAACCGCACCCATATTTTAATGGGTAATTAGATATGGATATATAGGTAACAGGTAAAAGAACATTTCCACTAACCCACACAATTTCAAGATACCTGAAGATCAAACCAGTTCAGTTTTTATATTATTAAAATAAAAAAGTTGGAGAAAGCAATAACCACATAATTTGAATAGAAAAAAGATCATTGATTTTTTATTGTGATTGACATGCACATAAAGATATTGTTTTATATCGAGCATGTATACCGACAGGAGCCCAATATATATTTACTCCCTCAAGCGAAGAGCTATTTAAGAGGATTATTTCAAGAGAAATGATCCTATAAGACCCTCTCCCATCCATGTGTGTAAGATCCAAAAAAATCACCATTAAATTTGGTACAGATCTATAGAAAAATCAACGCCCCACATCTATGTGATAACTTTTTTAGAGATCCGTACCAACTTTAATGATGATCGTTTGGGGTCCTACGCACATAGATGGGAGAGGGTCCTATATGATCATTACTCTTATTTATTTCAATCTAAAATTTTGGGATGTACTTTGAATCGTTTGATAAATATTTAAAAATAAAATAAAATTTTAAATTCTTAAATACATAAATTTGACTGTACAAAAATGAGACAATTGCTATTTAATCTTAGAACATCATTTATTCAAGCGCATACACAATGTTGTCTTGCGGCCATGAGGTCATATCCCAAGGTCAAGGATCCTAAAAATACTCATGATGGAGCATATAGCAGTTTGGCTTTTACATGAATTTTTAGGAAGATTTCTAAACAATACATTTTCAAAATTCTTTTGGACAGAGACTCGTCCCCTCCAAGAAATTTAAAGGTGGTTCATATACAAATCATCTTCCACTTTATGAATTTTTTTTATTTAAATTAAACAATAAAATATTTTTCATCAAATTTCGCAAAGTGCGTTGTGCAATAAAGGCATTAGCCCCCTTGTTTCTAAATGTTCATCATTATGGATTACCTGAAAAAAGTTTTCCTCCTTTTGTGGTTTGGTCAGCTTAGAATTTTTTTATCTTTATCTAAGAGCATAACGTGTGAGGAAAAAGTAAAATCAAATATCATATACAAAACAAGTAGAACTCATATGCTCAATAATACTAGTACTGTAGAAGGACACCTAACATGCAATGAGACCGTCTCTCTGAGTAATTCAATGGTTGAAATCGAACTCTCGAAGTAGCTTTGCAATAATAAACAAGTAACCAGTCTCCTCTTACCAACTAAACCTAAAACCAACGTCTAACCGTACAGGTTTGAAGCACACTTCTCTCACTCGATTTGACATTCACAAGTCCATGCCAGACCCAGTCTCCTGACAGCGTCACACAAAATCTAATTACCAAGCCAGTACTATTAACTTCCCCATCAGTTTGATCCCAGCCTATTCCCAATCTGGATTGGTGGGTTTTACTTGATGAAAGTAAGGAAAAAAAATTATATAAGCATGCAACCTCATAATGTAGAATTACATATGCACCTCAAAAATCCATCGGAAAAGGTAGTTTTAATGTTGAAAAACCCTTTGATTGATCATCTCAACATCGAGATGTATGACCATAAAAAATAAAAAGATTTTCAGTCTCAGAAATAGAGCATTTTTTACACCGTCCATTTTCAAGATTTTCATATGTTTATAGATCTACTTGATTTTAACCATTTTTTAAATTTAAAATTTTATAATTAGATATATAAATAGATTTTGATATAATCCTAAGAACAATTTTTTACATCAAAATTATATACCATGATAAAATTTGAAGGTGCACTCTACCTCTACACCTACGGATGCATTCATATGAAAACTGCACCCATGAAAGAAAGACTAATATGATATTGCTGAAAAATATATATATTTTTTATTTTTCTTCTATATCACCCCTTTTTTTTTTCTTTTTTTTTGGCAAAGATCACTTACAACTAGTGCTTCAAATAAAATAATTAAAATAAAAGTAACAAATCCAAAATCTTCAAAACCTTGATGCCACTAAACCAATTTTATTTAATCAAGTAAAATAACCACAATTCTTAAGCTTGAGAATATAAAGACTATATAATTAAATATGGTAAGAAACAAAAAGACTGTCAAAGATTATCCCAACCGGGTTTTTTTACACCTCACATCGAGTCACCACCAAACAATAATCAACTTTCAATCTCAAACCTAGAAAGCAAGTTTAAGCCAAACCCTCCAATGAAACTGTGAACTCCTCTTGCTAACAAATCTTAAACCTTAAGTACAGTCCATAAAACCCATTTTAAGAGAGATAAGATCTACTAACTTCTACTACCCAAAACCCTTTAGATCATCAAAGCAAGAGAATCGAGAGAGATCTTCCTCTTGATCAAAAATCTTAAACCTTAAGTACAATCCATAAAACCAATTTTAAAAGAGATAAGATCTACTAACTTCTACTACCCAAAACCCTTTAGATCATCAAAGCAAGATAATCGAGAGAGATATTTCTAAGTGGGTGTACCCCTTAATTTTTCTTAAGAGAGAGAGAGATCATTCTTTCCTAAGTGGGACATGTCCCCTATTTGTGCATTCTAGAGAGAGAAGAGAGATTTTGGTGTAGAGAGAAACCTTAGAGAGAGAAGAGAGATTTATAGTACAAAAATAGGATTAGGGTTTCTTAAGGTTTTCCATGGCTTGCCTCTTCTTATGAAATTGAATATGAACCATTGATTTTGAATGACTTAGGGGATGAGAAATTTGAGCTCTCCATTTCATAGATGGGTCATCAACATCATGGAATGTGCTATAACCTTTATCTCCATTTCCTAAACCATTTTTCTATCAATAGAAATTAAATAAAATAATTCTAAATATAATATTGTACATACCAAAATAATGTACAAGCCTTCTCATGCTTTCCAAAAATCCATTCAAAGCTTCTTCAAGGCAATAGCTTTCCAAAACACATAACAACTTGAGCTTCAAGCCAAAACCATTCAACACAACAAAATGGAAAGCCCTAAATAGGTCGGGCGTGCCACCCATGAAAGGGTCTCATGAACCCCACCATCTAGGCCATGGTGGGCCCATGTGCACAAATGGATCCCCATGCAATTTTAAATATTTTTTAATATCAATAAAAGAATTTTAGAATTTTTTTGAATATTTAAATTAATATAAAATCAATATCTATGTTTTTATAAATCCAAATTTGATAAATAAAATATCCAGAGATGATAAAATGTTTAAAAATCATATATCTTTAAAACAAACATAATTAAATTCATTAGATAAGAAAATGTTCCATCTAGTCTAGGAATTAAATTTATAAACATTGGGTCACTTCACCTTCAACTGTGGACTACGATCCACACTTGCTTTATCAAACCGACCCAGTGTTTCCTATGACCCACAGTCCATGCATGGGCTCATTAGTGGGTCATCAAAATTTGGCCGATGAGTCAAGGGTCGTAATCCTAGTTTGTGGATTTCAAGTTCTCCCCTAAAAACGTACCAATGTCACATATACCTGATGTGACCACAACTTCTGTGGCACATAGGGATATCTCTCGCACATGCATGAACTTCACCCTGAAAGGTGATTCGTTTTCCCGAAACGACTATCACATATACATGTCGTGTGATGTCACAGATAAGGCTTTGACCCCTGTCTTTTAAGGCCACCGCCACACACAATAGTCACACAGTCCCTCGACTCACTCATCCGGGTATACTCTGACCTCATCAAAAGATAACCTATTAGAACCCTTATTGGATAATTTTTTATATCCAGGTAACATATGTTTTTTCCAACCAATTGGCCTAGTTCGTAAAGCTCAGTTCGGTATCAACAAATGTAATTTTCTTAATATGGTCCACAAAGGATCACACTCCCACTAAGTTCATGTTCTATTATATCAAAATCATTATTACAAATATTCATAAGACCTTTAATGGCCACACTCACCCAACACTTAATTAGTGAGCAAAAAAAAACTTTGTGCTCATTAGTTAAATTCCCAACTAATGAGCACAAAAAAAAAGAGGGAAAGAACCCATATCTACTGCAATACAACTATTAAATATGTCCAAATCTAGGAATAGAATACCATTTGCATAACCAGCCCATCTTCATCCAAATCCAACCAAAGCTCCGCCAATTGAAAGTAAGAACCATCATTTGTAGTTCCTTGGAATAACTAACAATCACTTTCAAGTTGATGCCGAATGAGGGGCAGCCTGCTCAGCCATGGATTCTGTGTGTGGGTGTGGATGTGGGTGCTTGTGGGTGGGTGTGTGTGATTGTGTGTGTGTGTGCGTGTGTGAGAGAGAGAAAGAGATGGATTAGAAATTCATGAGCTGATATTTGAATGGATAGAAGGAGCAAGAGATCACTAAAAATCAAGAAATTAGCTCGTGCAGGCCTAAACAAGACGAAGAGCTTGTCATGGTCATTTTGGGCCTACAAGCATCTACTGAGTTTATCAGGTTGGTTATGCAATCTAGTGACAATGTACCGCTAGCGCACTAGCCAGCTGACATAATCATTTTAACCGATAGGCCAGCTGCAACACGTGATTTGGTCAATATACGTGTAGTATTCCAACAAAAATGCAATGTTTTGGAAGTCGGATCCAAACTAGCATTTTGGATTTTAATCTCAAATACAAAATGGCAGAGTTTTTTTAGTGCTTGCACACTTGGATGGGAGTCTAAAGTGGTATCCAAAGGAGTGCCTGTACAACACACTCAATGCCACCCAAAACACCACTCCAACCGCACGGAAATGTGCTTTGGGGCAGCAGCTAGACGAGGCCTAAAACTCTATTAAAAACTAAGAGATCCTTAGCCCCATAGTAAGTGGAACTCTTTTCTTTATTTTTTTTCCTTTTACCAAGTACTCCTTTCATAACCAACTTACCTTGGATCACATACTGAGGACACATCAGGTTGAGAGGTACATACAAATGGAAGTCTATAAAAGTCTATAAACATGAGAGAGAGAGAGAGAGAGAGAGAGAGAGAGAGAAGAACCTCATTAATACCCAGTATGTTGTCCATGATATCAGCAAGCTCCACAAGAAATCCGCCGCTTGCCAGGCCAATTTAACAAGATGAAGGAAACAATCTTAGTCCAGTGGCAAAAGCTCCCACTTCTCAAGTGCACCTAAGTACAGGCACAAGAACTTCTAAGCCTAGAAAGGGTCCTAAGAGCATGCCCGAGCTATCCCCCAGTAAACCACACAAATTCCATTTGGAACTACCATCCAAAACAAACTATAGAATACATATTGATGGCTCCGGCAATAAAACACTGGGCCTGGGTCTGGAATACTCAATGAATGTCACTGTCTTCCATTATATACCAAATCACCCACTCCAATCCCTAAGAACTCCCATGGTAAAGGCCTAGACAACCATAGAATCCAATATCTCTCTTAAGGAAAATTTGATATACACATGTTGCCAATAATAATCTACTACTCTCTAGCAATATACACCCTGATCCTTTCTCTAATTAGATATTCAAAAGTAGGGCAACCATTCTCAAATTTGTTATCTAGTATAAAGACCATGAGTAGAAGATTCTCTCAGGCCCAAAATACTTGTTATAAACCTACAATGTGGTGTTGTAAATAGCTCTAGAAAACGCTTTGCGCCATTCAAAAACCTAAGTAGCATTTCAGGGACTTGCAAGATCAAAGTTGCCAAGTGACGCAATTTTGAAGAGGTATTCAATGTGGTACTGAGTCATGAATACGGATCCTCATAAGTATTTATAAGGTGATTTCATTTTGTAATAACTTTATAAGATAATAAAGTTAATTTCAAGCAAATCATATGAACAAAGAGAAAAGAGTAAGGGAAAAAGATATAGAGAGAATTTCTGCCAAACAGAGAAGAAACCTTCAGATTCCTCAAAATGAGAGCATGCAAAAGACTCCAATTTTGAGGTTCAATAGATACATAACAGTAGCGCAGTAACAGAACAATGTGACAGGCATCTTTCTGTCACGCATAGAACTTGAGATGTCCACGATCCTCGTCTTTAGTAAACATAATAGTGTAATGGTTATCCATTATCCATTGAGTGTTTAAAATAAAAAACACACCTATATTGATGGTTGGTCAAGAAAGTGGTTCTTACTCTCAGAAATTACCAATGATACTTGCAAAATAACTTTGGATGGGGTTCAGGCCCAAATTTTGTATTCCCATGACTTCCATGAAATTGTTACTTTTAAAATGCATTATTTTCTATATATCTTCCCCGTATTTGAGTTAAACATCATACATGATGGAGCTGATCCCTTTCATGGCGACAATTTGGGTTGATTATTCATCAATGTATTTCCTTGGGCAGAGGGTGCACCATGATATTCTAATTCATTTTCATCGAATCACACTGTTTTCCTTCAGTAATGTAAGACAATCTTATCAAGGACAAAGTTTATATAAGGGTGAGGCGCTAAATGATCAAATTAAGGGCACCTTAAAAATTCACTAGAAGAGGTTGTTTTGATGTTAAAAACTGTCAACTCTATCATCTCAACCTCAAGATATATGGACATGAGAAAAAAAAGATTTCAAGTCTTGGAAATTGTCAATCTTGTATATTATCTAGACCATCAGTTTTCAAGAATTTCATTTTTTATGGATCTGCTCGATTTATACTATTTTTTAATCTTTAAATTTTTGTAATTAGGGATTAAAATAAATTTTCAGGGCATCACAAAGATTTTTTATACCAAAGCAGCATGTTTCAGATCTACTTGAAGGTGTATCTTACTTTGATTGTTAAGGGCCTCAGCCTTATTCAACACACGCCCTGTTATAAATACCCATGTAAGCGCACTTTCCCACTTCATCCCTCTGTTCTACTCACATATACCACACGCCTGTGGCCCCTCTTTCTCTCTTCTCCACGATGTATTTTTCATCTCAGAGCCCCTCTATTTTCTAAGCAATCTATAGATCACCTGAAATTTGTTTAGTTCTTTTTTTTTTTTCATGGAAGGCTTATCCCAAAACTTCTACCCGATAAAACTTCATTCAAGCTTTCTCACTTTCCGCCTTCCAATATCCCTTGTCAATCCAATATACCATTTGATAACTACAGCCATTTTACCGAATCGACAACATACATGTAGCCCCGTGTGTGTTGTACCACATGCAGACAAGAACAAGTAAGAATTGAAACAAATAATCAATGAAAATAAAATATCCAACTTACTAAAAAAATGAAAAAAATAATAATGGACAAAACTATAACAGCCCGAGTTAAATTTATGAAAATAAAAAGATAAATAGATAATTTACATGAAGATATGAAGAAAATAAAGGAAAAATCATAAATTGATATATAGACAGTTAAAGCTTACTCTGAAGAATTCATGGCTGACCACCCTTCATAAATCTCTGAGCTAGGGCATTCACGACACCATCAAAGCTATCGAACCGAGAACTCACCAAATCAATGTCAACTCCCAATTTCTTAGCACCCAAAGCAGTTACAGGCCCATGAGCAGCCACAACCAAACCAGGCCTCTTCTCTCTCACCATTACCCACTCAAATCCTAACTTCTTCAACCCCTTTATTAATCCCTGAACCTCTGCTGTACTAGTAAACACAATTGCATCACTGGCTTCATCGCTTATTAAAAACTCAGCACAATCAAGCCCAGCCCACCTGGTTTCATAGGAATTCAACCTAATTGGCCTCCAATTCTGGTCTTTCAAAGCCCCTAAAAAGTCAGGAACAACACTGGGCTCATCCAAACCCGTAACCAAGGGAACAAGGCAAAGAATCTCTCTGTTGAGCCCATCTCCAAGCTCCTCGGCCATGGCTTTTGGTGTCGGGACAGAGGGAACAAAAACCCTAACCCTATCAAGGTTTTCACATAGAGAAAGAACAAATCTCTGGTCCAAGAGCTCAGAGTCTCGACCTAGAGCACATAGATAGAAAGGCTCTCCTTCTCCACTTAATGGAGGACCATTTAGGGTTAGGATTTCCGATAATGCCTCGGAGAAGGAGTTAATGGCAGCCCTGGAAGTGAAGGCGATTGCAGAGGATTGATTGATTAGGGTTTTCTGGAGGTGGTTTCGGATTAGGGTTTTGGTGTGAGGGGTTGAGAGGACTGATATGGTGGGGAGCCAGAGAGGGTGAGCCTGGTGGGCTCGGAGTCGGCGCTCTAGGCTCGGAGCGTAGTGAGCCGGGGTGGTGTAGACGACGTGCCTATGGCTAAGTGGGCTCGATGAGGGGTTCCTAGGTGAGCTCGGATTCGGTGGCTGTGCGCAAAGGGTGATGAGCGCGGCCATAGCTCCAAAGATTGGCGGGACAATGATTTTAGTGTGGTTTAAATTGGAAAGGAGGTTTGCAATATTTACTGTCCAGAAAATGTTTTAGTGAGGCTGCAGGCCTGCTTATTGGAGTAGGACTGCATCCCTACACATCGTTCACGTAATGCAATTCGTTGCCTTTTCTACATAAATGTCAATTTTTTAAGCCATTGGATGTGAGCTGAGCGATGTAAAATGTAGCTGGTGGGGCCTCCATATATCTGTAGAGTGAAATATTAAAAAATTGATCAAAAAATATATATTTCTTCAAATATACAAAAAAATACCTTATTTTCTTCAAACTTACTCCCATACCTATTTTTTCAAGGGTATCAAGTAGTATAGGAAAAATCGGGCGGTTCATATCCTAACCATCTGGTTAGACCCATTAAGATCCGAACCGACCACTGGCCAGTCTTGGTTTTGGTCGTTTTTTGTGAATCGGACGGGTATTTTAAAAAAACAATACAAAATTATATAAAATCTAAAAAAATAAAGGATTTTGTTTGTAATACATCTTTTAATGTTTTTCATCGTTTTGACAAAGATTGAGAATTGTGTTTGCCAATAATACTTATTTTTACATTTCACTTTTAAAAAAAATTCAAAAATACCCCTGGGTACAAATCAATTATTTAAAATCTATTTTTCCATTAATTTCCAACTTTATTTGATGTGCTTTGTTTAATCGGGCTTTAAAATGCTTTTCATAATTGTATTTTTTTTTAATACTTTTTGACCGCTCGGGACTCGCCTAGTTAAGCTGAACTAGCCAATTTACCATTAGGCTAGTTGAATTGCTTCCAGCCCAATGTCCAGTTAAACGTTTCAGTTTGATTTTTCCACACTTGTCTGAAGTTAGTTCCTTTACGGAATTCCAATTCACCTATAATGGTGCACTCATGATTTGGGCCTTTATAGAGGCACACGAGTGGACCTTTATGGATGCACATTTCAATAATCCACCCATAAAAATATTTTGATGTTGAAAAACCTTCCAATTAATCATCTTGACCTTGAGATGCATTGATGTAAAAAAATACCAACAGTAATTCAAGTCTATAAAAATAGTGCACCTATCCATTTTCAAAATTTTCAAGTGTTTATAGATCTGCTTGATCGAAACCACTTTTTGAGCTCTAGAATTTATATGTAGAGGTGAAAAACAATTTTTTGACTATCACAAAGGCTTTTAGCATTGAAATTCCATCTTTCAGCATGGTTTGGAGATCAACCGTTCTTTGATTGTTTGAGATCAACACCTTATCTGAACTGCACCCTTTATCACATGACTTAAACATAATACTGTGTTGAAATTAGCACTCTTCACTGAAAGAACTCAAGTATCAGAAACTCGTCTGATATCCAACGCAGAGTAGCACATAAGTTAACATTATAAATAAATAAATAAATGTCTTAATTTTCTTTATAAGGTTTAACATGATCCTCATGATCACAACAACAAAATAGTCACAGGGTTTACCAACATCCAATCGAATGTTGAGATATAGTAGACTTATTAGCATTCCATCATCATCATAGTCATACAAGAACAACAGGGAAACACGTTTGTTTAATAGCGAATATCATGATCGGAACATATCCAATACTTTGTGCGTGGTACTCATACTGACCATCCACATTATACTCATCAGTGTAGCATACAGTGCAGATGCTCTTTTCTCCCAACTGAGTTAGTATCGTTCCTGAGCATAACAATTACTCATCTGCACCATCCTCTTATTAGTTGATGGTTGATCAACATTATCTGTGTTACTATAATATTTTTCAAATTTTGGTATAAAAAGGTTGCAAACACCTAGTCGAAGATGTACTATTTGTCAGCTGAGAGAATTTTGTATAGGGCTGAGCCCCTAAGCAATCAAAGTAAGGTGCACCTTTAAAGAGTGTTAGAATATATTATTCGATAATTGAAATCTTTGTGATGGCTTGAAACTTTGTTTTCATACCTAATGACAAAATTTAAAACTTCAAAATAGTGTAGATCGAGCAAATTGATTAACGCTTTAAAAATCTTGAAAGTTCACCATCCAGAAGTACATTACAAGATAGACTATTTTCAAAACTGAAATCCATTTTTTCTCATATCCATACATCTTGAAGTCGAGATGATCAAACCTCCTTCCTAACTCTCCATTCTCCCTCCTCCTCCGCCTTCCCTCCTAACCCTTTACTTTTGTTTTTTTTACGAATAAAATTTATAGGTTAGCTACTGTCTGATATTAACTTGAATACCAACCCGCCCCGTCAATCTTCTCCAAAACGCCCAGTCAATCTTCTCCAAACGCTCTTTCCCCTTCTCCTAATAGCTCACTTGTTCCCGTCTCCAAAACCTCCTCTCCCCTCCCACCCTTAACCTTGCCACTCTTTCTTCCTCTATGCGTTGCCACTCTTCTTCCATGCCCCGCAATCTCATCTTCCCCATGCCTTGCCACTCTCCTGCCCTGCCCTGCCCAGCCCGCAATCTTGTTATCTGATCTTTCCATGCCTCGCCACCCTACCCAGCCCCCCATGTCTCGCCATCCTATCCTTCTCCTGCACTGCCCAGTCCGCAATCTTCCCCCACACCATCCTACCTTTCCCCATGCCTCGCCACTCTCCTGGCAGCCCGCGATCTTCCCCCTGCCTCGGGGTTATGCCTGAGTGTTACTGAGAGGCATAGTAGTGCCAGAGATATCCATCCCCAGCTTTTCCTTTCCTTTATCAAATGGTTTCCCAATGTGCTTTCATTCCCTGATGATATTCTCCCCATTAGTAGCATCACAAGAACCAAAAACTGCACTAGGACTTCTTACCTTGTATTATATAGGTTGCACATTAATATAACATAATAACAGCACAGAGTTATCTCCCAACATCCAACAATATCGACAAATATGGGTATCAAATTCATGCTCCAAAAGATACAAGATGACATGTTCGCTGTAGATTTTCTTTTTCAATAATTAGCTCATTATAGATGTAGTATTCATAAAATTGCAAAGATGTAGTGTTTATGAACATGTAAACGTATTTTAAACAAATCACAAGCTTAAAATGTAGATGATATTACAATGCACCAAAAAACAAAACCCTCAACCAATAGAGATAGAACATTTTCAGAATATGAATACGAAATGATGATGCTAGTGTGTTATTCAATAATGCCTAATAACCCTAAAGTTATTATAATACACTGAAATAATCAACTTACATAAATGGCGCCTTTCATAGCAGCACATCGGTAAAATGCCTGTGGAAGTTCTCCTCAGCCATACTTGCGTCTGGATTCGCATAGAGGGAGTGCCCATTCATGCTTGGAGTAAAGTTATATAACTTTTTTTTTAATACTTTTAAAATACGTTGCCGGATCACTCAAACCAGCTAAAACCAGGCCGGTATTGCAATCACTGCTAAGATCAACTCCAATGCTCCATGCGAACTACCAAGACTTCAAATACACGCATGGATATGAGTTTCTTAAGAGAAAATCATATGAAAAAGTAATCATGGTTTCTAGCACCAAACCCAATCTCTGAAAAACTTTCCTCAAACTAACCCGCCAATGACACCCTCAGAAAACCAAATAACCTTTCCTAGCCAAATCTAATCATAATACAAACAATTCCCAACAAATACAGAATATGACACTGTGGTAGCCCAAACAACCTCAATCTTCATCAGATTAAGCCATTAAAAAAATGGAAACGAGAGACTTACCCAGATTCCTAAATTAGCCTGGTTTACTTTGATTGTTTGAGTTTAACACCTTTTACGAACCGCACCCTTTATCATATGACTTAACATAATACCGTGATGAAATTAGCACTCCTTACTAAAAGAAAAATATAAAAAACTCATCTGATACCCAACCTGGATATCATATGACTTAACATAATACCGTGATGAAATTAGCACGCCTTACTAAAAGAAAAATATAAAAAACTCATCTGATACCCAACCTGGAGTAGCATGCAAGTTAACAATATAAAATGAAAAAAAAGAAGAAAAGTGCCTTGATTTTCTTTATAAGGTGTAACATGATCCTCATGACTACAACAACAAAATAGTCACAGAGTTTATCAACATCCAATCAAATGAAGAGATATAGTAAACTTATTAGCATTCCATCATCATCACAGTCATACAAGAACAATAGGGAAACATGTTTGTAGAGTAGCGGATATCGTGATCGAAACATATGCAATACTATGTGCATGGTACTCATTCTGACCATCCACATTATACTCATCAGTGCAGCATACTGTGGAGATGTTATTTTCTCCCAACTGAGCTAGTCTTGTTCCATAGGATAACAATTACTCATACGCACCATCCTCTTATTACTATGACAGGTTGATGGTTGATCAACATTATCTGGGATTTCATACTATAATATTTTTCAAACTTTGGTACAAAAAGATTGCAAACACCCTTTCATATCAAAGTTATTGAGAAAGTATTATTTGTTAGCCGAAAGAATTTTTATCAACCTATGAGCATGATCAATAGTACACCCATAACTTGATTTCACATCCAATGTTGTGAGTTCACACCTTTAAAATACCAAATACTCTAAAAATTGCTCACCTGAAAAGTGCTTGCCCTTCATTTTTGTTATAAGGTCATGAACGTCCTTCATTAGCCATAAGATGTGAAATCTGAACGCTGTGTTAAAAAATTTAGAATATTTTATTCTAGACTCTATACCAATAGTACACTCCCACCGCCCAATTGCCCATCGGACTAAGAATAACAATCCTGACTTTCTTACCAAAAGGAAATACATTATTTTTTGTATGGTGTCTTCAAATCGAAGGAAGGACAATCAAGATATTTCCAATCCAAGTCAGTCCAATTGTTACTCGTTTTTTTGAGTAAGTAATTATTACTCGTTTTAATTAGAAGAAACTATTAAAGGGGCTTCACAAGGTTCTTTCTCCTGTTATTGAAGCGTGCAATGCATATAGACAAGGGCTTGAAAAAACGCCGTATCCACGTTATAACGATACACGCAGGCGTGCCAAGAACGGCAAGTATTGTAGTTGACGGCCGTTATTTCCGTTTTTGTATATATCATCTGCAAACACTTCAATCTAATATTACCCTCCATTTCTTGCTCTGAAACTGCTTTTTGAATTTTCCATTTTTAAGTCCTCTTGCCTGCTCATCGCCATGGTAACTTGCAAAAACTCTTGGAGTTTTAGCTCCATTTTCGTTGTTTTTTCAAGCTTTATTTACCTGTTTTCTCCAAGTCCAAGCGATTATTCATATCTGATTGATATTTCTTTTTACAGGAAAACGGTTCAGATGAAGATATTAGCAGGCAGCTACAGGAAACCCTAGACTCTGATCCTAACAACTATTCACACCATTACAACCTCGTAAACTCTCTTTCTCTCTCTAGTCGTTCCCCACCACCCCCCTTTTCTTACACTTACTATGAAACTATTATTTTTCTTTTTCTTTTTGCTTCTGTTTTTATGCTTGCACGTTCCATTTCCTGAATCTGCAATTTATTTCTCAGTCTATATTTCTGGCTTCTCGTTTCATTCCTGTATAATTTACTTATTTCTCTAATGGCTATTGTAGTGTTTAAACATGAAATTGATAATAATGTTTACTCATTTATTGATTTTTTTTTTTTTTTGATGTGTTTGTGGATAACTAACTTATTGTGTCTCTTCCTTTCTATCTAATCTATATTTTCATAATCACCTGTTAAATATCAACTCAATTCTGGAGTATTTATTTTTTAATATTTAAATATTTATTTATTTTCTTTGTGTATAACTACTCGTTCCCTCCATCTCTCTCTCTCTCTCTCTCTCTCTCTCTCTCTTCTTCTCTCTCTCTCTCTCTCTCTCTCTCTCTTTCTCTCTCTCTCTCTCTATCCATTTTAATTATTTTATGTTTAGTATCAAATTAGTTCTCAAAATTTGACTTCTACACTTTGTATTTTGGATATTTTGTATATTCAAATCTAACTCTCTCTCTACTATCCATTTTCCATAATATACTTATGCTAACTTGATTATTAAATATTACCTTCAATTTTTTTTTTGTGTAAACTTCTATTTTCAGGCTGTTTTCTTTTGGGAAAACGGGGAGAAGAGAAAGGAGTGGAGGGACAAGGCAGCTGAACATTTGGTTCTATGTGTGAAACTAGACCCCAACAATGGAGATGCCTTTCGATTGCTTGGCCATTATTACAGTCATGTATCGGTTGATGTGCAGAGAGCTGCAAAGTGCTACCAAAGAGCAGTATATATCAGTCCAGAAGATAGTGAAGCAGGGGTCAGTAGATGAATCTCATGAGGCTTTTTTTAGTCAAATGTTTTCAGATTTTAGTACAAGAAGCTTATTATATGATCCTTTGAATTTTGTAATAGAAATGTATATAAGTGTTCTTAATGACTTTGTTACACAGTATTGAAAAACCCGGCAAGTCCCACCCAGACTAGCCTGAGTTCCTGGGGTTCTGGAGGCTGCCGGGTCGAGAAGCAAACACATGGGAACTGGCCTAGTCTGGCTGGTCTTCCATATTATATATATTTTTTTCTGTTTGGACTTGGCGGAGTCTCTATCAAATTTGTTAGAACTGACTAGGGCTTCGAACCATAGAAATCCCCATCTAAATCCTTATTTTAACCACTGGTCACACATATATGCCCGTGCATAGATGTACACATGCCTGAAGATACAATTTGAATTGGAGGAACATGATCATATTACACTTGGACTACTTTTATATGATGTGATGGGGTCAATTATGAAGCTTTTATATAGTAGAAAAACGTTACTGTCGGAAGTGACAATGATTTTTCTAATGCTAGATATGGTTCAGATGTTATGTAGTAGAAAATGTATTCTTATAAGCTGAAATTGTTGATTCCCTCTTAGAAAGAAGAGATAAATATTCAAAATATGATAAAACTTGTACCCTTGAAATTAGGGAACTTTACTCTTCGAGAGCTGTTTTTTAGGTATATTTTTGGTCAAGAGTCAATTACTTTGTTAATAGGTGCTTTTTTTTGTCATTGTAAAATCCTCATTCGATTCTCTTCAAATTTGTCATAAGAACAAATCTCCCTCACAGATTATATATTACTTTCCATAATTTTTATTGATGACAAGATTTGTTTCTGCGTTTTTAAGATCATTATGTGTAGTTTAACTTTTGTTTTTTGTAGGAAGCCTTATGTGAGTTACTGGATGAGGGAGGGAAAGAGATATTGGAGGTCATTGTATGTCAAGAAGCTTCCAAAAAGTCACCTAGAGCATTTTGGGCCTGGAGGCGTTTGGGTTACTTGCAGGTTTTTCACTTGAATTTGTTCTTTTCGTCTTTGTCCTGTGATTGTGACCAAATAAGTACAGCAGATGAGAAATGAATGAAGGGGGAAAAGTAAAATGTTTTTTCTATTAAAGGAGAGATGCACCTTTTTACAAAATTTTTAAGAGGAGCATACAAAGATGGGGTATCATTCTCCATAATTGTGAATATTGAGGTATGGAGGTATTTAGACCTTGATAGGTTGGGTGTTGGTTTGGGAGCTAGAAGGCTGAGCACTTCGTTAAATTGTATGGATAGGTTTTCCATTAATATTTAGGATTACACTTTCTTGGAGGTCCAGCAATGAAAATGAGAGTTTAAAGAATGTGATGATTGGGAGCAAGCATGTGTTAAAGTAAGCATCACACAGATTTTCATGTCCAATCTTGATATGAACTGGTATGAAGAATGCAGGGTAAATGCTGATCCTCAATATAGACGATGTAAACCATCAGTCTAAATGCAATCACCTTCTATGTCGGTTTTTTAATTAGTTTTACTATGTTATCAAATTACTCTATATTGATTGAGGTTTTACCTTTTGCTTAGAGAGTGCCATTTGTCATGGTACATTATTTATTTATTTATTTTCCTTTCTACATGTGCATAAAAACCACATTTTATTGTGCTTGCCATGTAAACTTATTTTTATAAAATAGCTGATGAAGTCATATACTCAGTTTATTTATAGCTTTCCGCTTGTTAGTTTCCTCCTACAACTGATGCTGGAGGCATTGTTAATTTATGGGCTCTCATATTCCTATGAATATGATTTGTATAAAAATGTCATTGTTGTCTGTTTGGGATTATTTTTGCCTGCAAACCTAGTTTGTATTAGGCAATATAAAGAAAAATTTCAAGCATGAATATAGGTAGCAAAATTTGGAAAAATATAGAAACGAAGAGATAATGATAAGCAGATTTTTCAAAAGTTAGCTATCAGAAAAAGGGAGAAAATGAACTGAAGATGCTACACAGTGGGTGGACTTTAGAGCTTATTGTTTCTCATGTAAATTGTATCCATTTTAAATTGTTATGAAGGAAGGTGGTTCTGGTCAAGTAGCAATTTTCTGGACCTTCCTGATATACAAATTAATGAAATTTAGGTTCATCAAAAGAAATGGATGGATGCCGCTCAAAGTCTCCAACATGCCGTTCGGGGCTATCCTACATGTGCTGATTTATGGGAAGTAAGAAATCACGTGTCCCAATCTACTGTTGATTTATGTGAAATTTTATCTTCAAAACAAATGTTAATACATTTTGAAATTGAATTGCTTTTTGGTAATTTAGGCTCTGGGTCTTGCATATCAACGGCTGGGCATGTTCACTGCAGCTGTAAAGGTGAGTTTTCTAATAATATTTTAGTACTTTATTTGATTTGCTGGAGGTATCTTTGGTGATCTATGTCACTTTAACAGTCGTATGGGCGTGCCATTGAACTGGAGGGGGGCTCAAGGGTATTTTCATTAATCGAAAGCGGCAACGTACTATCACTTCTTGGTTCGTTTAGAAAGGTATTATCCTCCTTGTCTTTGTATAAAATCCCCAGCAATGGATTTCCAAAGATCCTTCCCCAACTGTATTTCCCCTGGGGAATTAACTTGGTCAATGCCTTTTTGTCTTTCTGCATTATGAGTACATAATGCTTTTTCGTCTCTTAATTTGATTTTGAATTATTTGAATTTTTTGGTGATTTCCAGCTATTTTTTAACTATTTCTGGAAAAAAACATGTGGTTTCAGCATATTACTATTAGTACAAATAGCTTTTTAAAAGGATAGACCTATATGTAAAACTGCCTATAAGTTTGTATCAGAAAACTTTATGATGCTACTACCAAGCAATAGATAATTCATTACATAGTTTAATTCTATTGAAACAGTGAGTTGTTAGTGATAACGATTAATTCTATTGAAACAGTGAGTTTTTAGTGATAACGATTACATCCACAGATGCCCTAAGTCAACAGTTAAAAGTTAACTGGAAGAATATCAATTTGAGTTCTTGCTCATTATAAGTTCTTTTGATAAGGGTGTAATATGTTTCGTATCATGAGCTTTAGCTGCTTAGGCATTTTCTCCCTGTTTTGCTTCGAAGTGTGCGTTAAGGGTATTTCTGTAAGGGTACAATGCATTCCAAGTATTGTCTTCAATTTGTACTCCTTTGTAACTTGTTATTGGTTGATAGTTGTTTATGATCCAGTTGTTTTTTCTTTCCAAAGAATAGATGACTGGATGCTTAACATTGTTCTTTTAGTTAGGGAGTTGAGCAGTTTCGCCTTGCATTGGTGATTGCACCTGAAAATTTGGCTGCCCATTATGGGCTTGCTTCTGCACTGCTTGGAATGTCAAAGGAATGTGTAAATTCTGGTGCCTTTAAATGGGGAGCTTCCTTACTTGAGGTCAGTTATTCGCATATTTTATACAACTAGAGCCTCTACTTTAATGGTGCCCATATAAGTGCGTTCCATCTAACATGTGCTTGATAGAATGACTTCTGTTTGAATTGCAGGAAGCCTCTGACATTGTCAGAGGATGTTTGCACTTAGCAGGAAACATTTCTTCCATGTGGAAGTTGTATGGGGATATTCAGGTAATTTCTATCTTGCATCTATGTATGTTCGTTTCATTTTCAAACCGTTAATAGATAAATGTCCTACCTCCAACAATGCTGAAGTCTTTTTAAGCTCAATTATAGCATGACCCATGCTTATTGATTGCGTTTTCTATTGGCTATTATGAATCAAACCTTCTTTCAGACTAATCTTCAGAGTTAAATTTTTGATAGTTCACTGTCCAACATGCTGGTCATCACTTCAATAAATATGTCCATAGTACAATATGCAAGGGGTGCAAGGGAGCCAGGCCCCAAAAAGGCCTGAAACAAGGTATTCCTGGCCTGCCCTGTTAAACAGTTATCATGACCCTTCCCGTCCAAGAAAATGGAAATAGGTGCCTAGTAACCTAGACGGGCACTGCAGAAAAGAAGAAAGAAAAGAAGAAGGTGTGTGTGTGTGGTGGGGGTGGGTGGGGGGGGGGGGTTGGGGGGATTTAGGGGTTTCAAATTTCCAAACTAAAAAAAAAACACTCATGAAGCATAACATAATGTAAAGCCACTAAAAAAAATAAATTGTGAACTAAAAAAAAGCATATCATCATATTTGTAAAGACAAACTTAAAAAATAAACACGTGAAAGTGAAAGTGAAAATGAAAAAAAAAAAAAAAAAAAAACATAACATAAGACAACTCACAATAAATACAAAACGCAAACCTTTCAAAAAACCAATAGAAGTAGGCTTGAATCGGCTCTTTTGGTTGCCAAAAGCTCTATTTTGCAACCTCTTTAATCCCTAAAGAGTTTATTGTGAAATGCGATTCGATTCCGCAAGAAATAAAAACTACAAATTTGGTTTGCTATCCTTAAAAATTTCATCTTTGAACAAAAAAATTGTTTTTGGAGACAAGAAGGTTGTTAAAGATTTTGGAGGGCCAAGATGCCCCCAAATATAACTCACCCCCTTTCTTCAAGGGGGGAAAAGGACATTTTTTGCCTTTAGAAGATGCCCATTTTTGGGCCTTTCCAAAAAGGTCTTGGGCGATTAGTTGGCCGCCTAGGGCCTTCGTCTCGCATAGGGTTGAGTAGTCCCAGTGCGGGGCAATGAGGCATCCTAGGCAGCTGGGCAGGCAACTTTTTGAACATAGTAGTAAAGTGTGTTCATCATCATCAGAGCCTTTTCCCAATTATTTGGGATCGGCTACACGAATCCTATTCCGTCATTTTGCTCAATCAAGGGCTATAACGTCAGTGAGGCCATAAGTCTCGATGTCTTTTCTCATTACTTCCAACTATGTCCTTTTGACCTTTTGTCTTTTTTGAGCCTTTCACTTGAGCAACTCGTACCTCCTAACGGTTGTTGTATTGGGTCTGCACTGCACATACCCAGCCCACCTAAGTTTGCTTTCTCTCATCTTATTGCCTGTTGGAGTCACACCTAAGTTCTCTCGAACATATTCATTTCGAATTCTATCCCTTTTTGGCTTGCCAGTCATCCATCTCAGCATCTTCATCTCACCTACACGCATCCTATATGCATGTTGTGTCTTGACTGTCAAACATTTTGCCCCATAAAGCAAAGCTGGTCTCAGAGCTGTCCTATAGAACTTTCCATTCGGCTTCATTGATACGTGGCGATCAAATAAAAACTCCAGTTGCACATCTCCACTTCACCCACCCATCTCTAATTCTATGTTCAACATCTTCCTCAATCTCTTCATTTTCTTGGAGTATCGACCCAAGATATCGAAAGTAGCTTCTTATTGGTATTTTTTTGCCTTTAATCTTAAGTACTTCCCTGTCTCTAGTCCTATTATTAGTAAACTTGCATTCCATATACTTTATCTTAGGCTAATTTTAAAACCTTTAGATTCTTGAACATCCCTTCGAAGTTTGAGCTTTGTGTTGATGCTGCTTCGTGCCTCATCGATCAAAACTATGTCGTCTGCGAACAACAACATATACCATGGTACCTCATCTTGGAGGTGCCTAGTTAAGTTGTCAATAACTAAGACAAAGGGATATGGGCTCAACGCTGACCTCTGTTGCGGACCTATTGTTACTGAAAACTCACTTGTCTGTCCACTAGTTGTTCGCACACTAGTTAGCGCTGCCATGTACATATATCTCTTCTTAAGCCTATATAGTATCTTGAGACTCCTTTCCTTTTCAATACCCACCAAATTAAATCTTGAGTTATTTTATCATAATCTTTCTCTAGATCAATAAAGACGATGTGGACGTCTTTTCCCTTCGCCTTAAACTTATCAATCAGTTACCTAAGTAGGAAAATAGCCACAATTGTTGACCTCCCTGGCATAAAATTGAAGGATATTTTGATTCATTTCATATCCTTAATCGTTGCTCAATCACTCTCTCCCACAACTCCATGGTGTGGCTCATAAGTTTGATCTCTTGATTGTTCACACTTCACACAACTCTATACGTCTCCCTTATTCTTGTATAAAAAAGTAATAACATAAGCAAATAATACAAAAAATATAAAAAAAATATTAATAATCCAATACTGATAATCCATTTATTATAATTGCACTTTGTTAATTATAATGATTAGAATGACCATTTATTCTAATTTATTATTGTTGTATAATGACAACCACATAAATTTATACAGTAGAATCACTCATCAATAATATTACTTTTATTTGATTTATTTAGTTTTAATTTCGTAAACTTTTCTATTAGATCAATAACCTTTAAGATTCTAGGCAACACATGGGGCTGCTTACTAGTTTTAGATAACTAGCTGGAATTTGGATTTTTAAAATATTATTTTGGTTATATCCGGGACACCTAGGCATCTATGCAAGTATGCATAAACAATGGTTGAAAATAAAATAAATTTTCTCATGGATGGTGGAGATAAAGATGTAATGGGTTTCGATGTTGGTGAACTCAGTGATGATGATGACAAAGGTGGGAATGATGTAGATGACAAGAAGATGTAGATGAAGACTACATATGATTTACTTTTTTGTGCTTTATCATTTATAAATTATATAATCTTTTAGGAATCGGGCTTTGGTCAAGGCGGTAGTAGCTGGGTTTTCATAGCACCACGTCTCAAGTTCCATTCCTATGTAACCTTGTCAAAAAATAATAATCTATATATATATGTATGTATGTATAAAATCTCTTCAGATTTTGAAGGCCATGGTTTATAATATCGGATTGCTTCCTTGTTTGTGTCTTTGTGAGAGAGCAAGTGTGAGAATTATGTTATGAAGTTCTGTATGCATATGGGATTCACTGTAATAATTTACTTGACTGATGCCCTTCAAATTCAATGTTCATATGTGTATTGCTTAATGAGCTAGTGCCTTAGTGGAGTACTTCATGTGTATATTGTTATTCTGTACTTTTGGCTTCTAATCATGTTCACTTGTGATCTTATAATTTACTTAATGTTCTAAAAAAATTCTCTCTTTGTGAAAATTTGAAAATTTCTAGTTAATGTTCCAAAAAAATTCTCTCCATGTGAAAATTTGAACCTTTTGTAGAAATTTTCATAATTTTTATATTTTTCTCCATTTTTCTCTATGTATGTTTATTTTACTGAGCTTTTCAACTCATTTTTGAAGGTTGATCAGTCTGACAAGTCAGCTGGTCCGGTTTGACTGGTCCGATCTAACCAGTACCATCTCTACCAGTTTGATGGCTAATAACACTTATTGAAGAGACTAACATAATAAACATAAGAATGGAACAAACATTTCACATGGAGAATTTTTTCAATTACAGCAGTTCACCCATACCTGTGTCTCTTTAAGAGTATACCTCTCAGGCAATGTCTTCTTTTCTTCACTTGTAAGAACTTGATGCTCTGGAAGAAGGAACTGCTCCTTGATATTAAGTTCTGATTCCTGTATAAAAGTACATGACATACAATATCTGAATACCTTACCTTCAGAGTATCTATAAGAATTAGAAACCATGTGACTATTTAGATAAACTACTGCATAATCTAGCTCTCATGCTTCGTGGTCTATAAGTTCATATTTTTCCCAAAAGGGAATTGGGTGCTACAGTTGCATATGAGAACCTCCAGATGAGAAGATACTTTGATTGTTTCCAGCTTGCAATAAGTTTTGACCAGTTTCCAGAACGATGATGTCAATAAGATCATAGTGCATTATGAAAATAAAAATCACCTTCCAGAACGATGATGTCAATAATGATGATTGTGTGCATTATGCAAGTAAAAATTCACCTTCCAGAGCAATGATGTCAATAATGATTATTGTTTCCAGCTTGCAATAATCTTGCTCGTATGCTTCATGATTTCTCATGAATATCTGTCTTTATTGGTAATAGTTCATTTAGAAACGAAGGTTCTGACAAAGTTTCCTGGAGGGTCTTGTTCATGAAAGATGGGTTATCCACTAATTACAATGTTGTTGACATGCTAGTGTTGTCTCCAACCAGCTGCTAAGCAAAGCAAAATGAACATCCAATTATGTGAAAAACCGTCTGGTTGACTTGTTGAAACTGCTTGACTTGGTGAACTAATAATTCGAATTTTTTGGTCAAGTAGTGTTTACTTACAAAGGCATGCATGACAAAAAAGGGATAGGTCAATTGTTATAAAATATGATTAAGTTCAATTGTTATAAAATAGAATGAAGTAAAGGTTGGAGTAAAGAAGAACAAACTGTGAATCTGTTAAAAGAAAAGTTTGTAGCTGGGAATGTAATTGCAAATTTTCTGTACTGGTTATGGTTTTCAGAACTGCTTGAAAATATTGTCGCATTCTGGCATTGGCTTTTGAAATGTTCAAACTTTCGTAGTCCTTCATATTATTAATTATTCATAGCCACTACAAATACTATTACTTTCAGATAATATTTTCTTCTTTGATGGGGATGCTCTGCATTTTTCAATTTAGGAACGGTATGCCAATTCTGTAAGGGAAATACCTCTTTTCATTTTTTCACTCATATATCTGTAATTTAATCTACAATTTTTTCTTTCCAGTTTGCATATGCAAAATGTCATCCCTGGGCCATTGAAATGAAGTGCACCGAAATTAACGAGGAGTCCTTTACAGCATCTGTACTTTCCTGGAAGAAAAAGTGTTGTTCGGCAGCAAGATGTGCTAAGCGTTTGTATCAAAAAGCTCTCCATCTAGCTCCATGGGAAGCCAATCTCTCGTCAGATGTTGCTATATCTCAAGATCTCTTCTGCTCTTGGGAAGAGGAAATTGCCCTGGATGAGCATGATTTGTATGATCTATTCATCATGGCTTGTTTTTTGATTGTTAACAATACCATAGTGATTGTAAAAGATGTGGAATTATAAATGCTGCACAAGATGTGCAGTATTCTCCATCAAGAGTTGAAATTTGTCCTATAATGAAGATGTGTGATAACTTTTTGCAATAGCATCTTGTTGTTTTTGGTATCTTCTCTCAGATGTGACTATTCATTCAACAGGCAGCTAGCTGAGAAGATGTCTTTGGGTGCCTTGATGATTGAGGGCAACAACGATGAGTTTTGGGTCAAACTAGGCTGCTCGTCAAAAAATAAAGCATTGCAACAACATGCTCTTATCAGGGCCTTGCAATTGGATATCTCCAATGCGACTGCCTGGGCTTATCTTGGAAAGGTAATTCATGGGGATTTTCAACATTCACCTAAAAAGATGAACATCTCTTGAATATTCCTTATTGGAACTGATCTGTTTTGTCTTCACAGCTTTACAAGAAACATGGTCATAATCTACTGGCCAAGCAAGCATTTGATCGAGCTAGAAGCATAGATCCTTCACTGGCATTGCCGTGGGCAGGAATGTCAACTTATGTTCATGACGGGTAAATGTGGAAAAATGTGTTTCAGATTACTTTGTGTTGAGATATACAATATGTATCCCTTCTACATTAAATCAATTCCTTTTTTAATAGGGAGTGTTCCCCAGATGAGGCCTATGAAAGCTGCCTGCGTGCCGTGCAGACACTGCCAGTAAGGTTTTCTATATTATAGTAGATTTCTTTAGTTCCAAAGGGGCAAACAGTACTTTGATGATTGCAAAAGAGCTGAAATATATTGCAACATCTTTTAAAGTGATCGTCACTTGGCTCTTGGATTGAGTATACCATGTTCTTCCAAAGAGTGGGACTTATATTGTGCTATAGAGTGGTCCAGCATTTCGTATGGCGAGTCGCTTTTTGAAATTTCTGCGTGTTATTTTATATTTACTAGAAAAGTTGTAGCTTCCAGAATGTTAGGTTGTTTATGAGCACATTTTGTTACTGCCTCTTTGGACACATATTTGTATGCTCTTGCATTCATATTGCAAATTAGTATTGCACCTTTTGCGGCATTCTTTTAGGTAGTAACAAAGCATTGCTATTCTTATGTTGCAGAGTTTGTATTTTTCATTCCTAGTTGTTCATTTAAATAGAGTTGGAAAGGCAGCTATATTCACAATTTGGTTCCTTGCAGGTAGCTGAATTCCAAATGGCTCTTGGACAGCTTGCTCTTCTTTCTGGTCATCTTCATTCTTCTGCAGTATGATCACATGCTCCCTAGTTTCTTGAATTGTTCCATTTTATGGGAAAAAAATACTCATTTTTCATGTGATGGTGTTACACTTTTAACAATTGTTAACCTCTAAAATATGGTTCTGATGTTTAGAGGAGTAAAACACAGAAAATGATGTGACAAAGGAAAGATTCTGATCTACCTGCCTCTCTCTTTAATATCATGTTACTCACTTTACGCTGGCCATATGAAGAATTCAAGAAAGGTCTTGGGCTACAAAATAGTGCATAACAAAAACAATATGAACAGCTACATCCATGCATATGCATGTTTACATTATTCTGTGACAACAAACAGTTCTATGGATACAAGTTCAAGTGGCACCATGCTTGTCAGAATTAGGATATAGCGAACTGTGGTTTATCATACACATTGAACTGGCTTGTTGAGGTACAGTTATAGAAAAGCAAAAGATCGGAGAAGAGTTGTTTCTAGATTTAGGATTCTGTACTCCTGTAGAAATAAGTATTTCTAGATTGCTTTCTGCCGATTGTAAATAAATGCTTTTGTTGGACTTCTTAATAGATGAACTTACTTCAGGATGATATTAGAAAAAGGAGAGCACATATCTGCAATAGTAACTCGTTTTGTAGTAGAATTCTGGTAGAATTCTCCTCTGCCCTGTTGAGAACCTCTTGGTCGCAACGGGAGAAAGAGTACCCTTCAAGTGCAGTACTTGGACATAATCACATAGATGAATGTAACCATGTACAATGTATGTGCCATGGTTAAAAATTTCCGATCCTGGATCGCGATCTGGATCGGCAATCGTCACGCCTGAATTGCTTCCCGCAACATATCAGGAACTGGTTCTCACCTCAAAATCGGCGATTCTACTGTAGCAAATAGCCAATTTGGTATATTAGAACCGGCGATTCCCATTTAAAAACATTTGACAGCCCATCAACTTGTGATTTTTGGCTCTTTCGGCTCTTTCTTTTTTAATCTTGCTGTTGTAGGGACAATAATCGATCCAAAAATTCATTTTAATGTATACAAACGTCATACAATCGATCACAAACTCACAACAAATAATTTCCCTTTCCTTTTTTTCAAATTTTCGGTGAAAGAAATCGTGTTTTCTGTGTTCTTGGGAGAAATTCACCAAACAGCAATTTTCTCATTGATTTCTCAATGGTTTTGGTTAGATTGTATTTTAAAATGGTATTTGGAGAGCCTAGAACAAGATTTAGTACTTTAGTGATAAAAATGATCACATTGGAGTGGATAGCTCAAAGTTTTTCGGTTTCAAGAGTTGAAGATCTTCAAAATTGGACTTGCAGATCGTGTTTGATGTTGTTTTTCTTCGAATTCATGTGAGGATATTTCTACAGAGGTTTAGTTTTCATATAAATTACATATGTGAATTTATCATCTTGTTTTTTTTTTCTACAATTTTTTTGGTAAAAAATTATCTTGTTTTCTTGTGTTCTTGGGAGCAGTCTGCCAAACAGCCAACATTTTTTTGTTGAATTTTTTTGTTTTAAAATGGACTTTAGAGATCCTAGAACAAGATTTAGCTCTTGATTAGTGCTAAAAATCATCACTTTGGATCTAGCCCGGAAATTTTCGGGTCCAAAAGCTTTAGATCTTCTAACAATCACTCATAGATCATGTTTAATGTTGTTTTTCTTCAATTCATGCGGGGATATTGATCTGAAGAGGTTTATTTTTTATCTAAATCAGGTATGTGAATTTATCATTTTCTTTTATTTTTCTATGATTTGTTTGGTGAAAATTCCTGTTTTCCTGTGTTCTTGAGAGCAGTCCGCCAAACAGCCAATTTCTCATTGATTTGTCAAGGATTTTGTTTTTTTTTGTTTTTAAAATGGTCTTTGGAGACCCTACTACAAAGATCGAAGCCCTAGAGATTAAGTTTTGCTTTTTTCATTTTTACAATTATTTCCAATTTTAGGTGCAATTATGCAGATTTTCAGAAAAATAATTTTTTAAATAAATGTTCTAATGTTATAACATGGTTGGATTGCTTTTTTCATTTTTTTAGATCTCATAATATGGAAGTATCTTTTTATAATATTCTTCTATTAAGATGGATCATTTGGATATTGTAATGAATATAGTAATATATTATGATTAATTAATTATACACTAATAATGAAAATCTGGTAATTTATTTATATTCTAAATTACATAGTGTTATTTTTGTTATAGATTTATATAAGGATTTTTTATATTAGATAATAATTTCTTATGTTAATATTTTTTTTTATTTTTTATTTTCATATCTTTTTGGATCTTATAATATGGAATTTATTTTGATGCAATATTGTTCGATTAAGATGGATCATTTGGATATTGTAATGAATATAGTAATATATTATGATTAATTAATTATACACTAATAATGAAATTCTTGCAATTTGTTTAGTATTTTATTTATCTTCTAAATTACATAATGTATTATTGTTTATAATAGACGTGAATAAGCATTTATATAGATGAATATGGTCATTTGTGTCATGCATGTTGCAAGTATTGTCCTTCTAGCCTGACGTGGTATTACTATCCATCCAGTTAGATTTATCAGATTCTTAAGTTATGCATTTTGTAAATCTTATGTCCAGTCAGCTTGAGATTGACATGGTGATTGTAATGAGTTACACATTGAGTTGAATTTATGATGGATGTTCATGTTCTGCCTTGCAAAGTACTTACATTCATCATTGTTTGGCAAGGTGATCAGTGGATTCGGCAAATGGATGGTAAAACAAATGATATTCTTTTCTTTTCTGTATTAAACAACTTATTGCCTTGTATAAATTATGGACTCATCTATACCATGCTTATAAACTCTTTTTTTTCTAATAATGTGAATGTAATGGTCAACAAACATCTAAACAGGGAAACATTGTCTCAATATTCATGTTTTTTGTAAAATAATGAAAATACATAATGCACCACTCCCAATTTTTTTTGGAAACATAAAAAATACGATTTTTAGGGATTTTTTTAGTATTTTTTGAAATTGTTTTGAGGCCGAAACTGGCCGATCCAGATTGCTGATCCACCAGTCCGACCTGGTTTTTGGGGTGGCCGATCCGTGTCACTGATCTGTTTTTTAAACTTTGTTATGCACATATGTATTATCATCTATGCATAGATGTATATTTCCGTGTTTCAACTTCTTTGTTTTCGTTAGAGAACTTCCAAAGGTCATGGCTTTCCTTTAGCTTATGCTGAGATCAATGATATATTATTTTGATAATTGAGTCATTATTATTCTCATTCAGAGTTCAATGTTACATGATTACAGGTATATGCGGCTGCAAAGCATGCTGTTCAACGGGCACCCCACTCTCCTGAGGCGCATAATCTACATGGCCTGGTCTCTGAAGCAAGAAAAGATTATCATTCTGCAATTGATGCCTATAAGATGGCCATGTACTGCATTAACAGTTTTGCAAAGACAGCTTCACAGTCTGATTATAGTGACATACGCGTCAACCTAGCTAGATCCCTTTGCAAGGTATTTTTTTTTTCTAACAACTTCTGTTAGTTGTTTTTCTGTGCCCTTTCTTCCTGGAAATTTATATTAAGGTCTTCAGAAAATGTCCAATCAAATAATTGTTGATGGTGGAGAGGGAATATGTTACATCTTCCCAGTGGTTCCAACCAATCACTGGCCGTTATTTCATTGGATGGAATGATGATCCCAATGGATTAAAGTATTGTAGTATACCATAGTGCATTGTATAATGTCGTGCTTTTCATTTCTTTTCATCTGTCAACCTGTGCAAATCAGATGCTGGATGCATGTGTTTACTCTCTCTTTACATGTGTCATATTATGCGAAATCTCTCATGCAATAGGGCATTTCTAATGCAGGCAGGGCATGTACTTGATGCTATACACGAATGTGGCATATTGCAAAGTGAAGGTAAAATTATAACTGGAGCTTCTACTTCGTTATGTATACTAGGCCAAATATTAATGTATTGTGCTTTCATTAGAGAAAAAGATTCTTTACCAAAGATGCAACTTAGTATGCATTTCACAAATTAACAAAGACAAGTCTGTGAACACCTTGGAGACACGATACAGAATTCTAACCCAATATCTCAGTGCAGAGAAAATAATTTATTAAAGGGATGTTAACTAAAACAGTACAAGATAGAACAGATAGAGGAAGCGAGGTATCTAAACAGGAAATGAAGAGGAAGTTAGGCACGTAAACAAGGAAAAACCCCTAATGTTCCTAACTAAACCAGAAACCCAAGATCTGACCCTTAAAGTAACCTCTCGGATGAAAATTTATGAAGCATGTAAATCATATGGCCAAAGGTGAAAGTGTTTATAGCACTACAGAGCACAGAAAAACCATAATAGGACATTCGGTCATCCATTCGTTAAAAATGATGGCTGGCAATGTGCCAATAACCCTACAGACAACTTGAACCATAGCCATTGGATTATCGTATACTCCACATTTGTCAAACTATAATTTTGTTTTGTTAAAATATTTGGTTTAAAACAATTGTGTGTTAACATTTGGTTTTCCAGGTCTACTGGACTGCATGGGGCTACAAGTATATGCAGTGACCTTATATAGACTAGGCAAGAATGATGAGGCCCTCCTTGTTACGAAAAAATTAGTTGAGATGGTTTCATCTATGAACTGGACAAGTGGGGCAGCAACACTAGCATTGGTGTGTAAATTGCTGTACCACATTTCAGGCCAGGAGACTGCAGCAGCTATGGTGTTAAGCAGCCCTCGAGAATTGTTGCAAAACTCAAAATTGAGTACTGTCGCCTGTTTGGTTACTGTTCTTGACTTGTCTGGCGTGCATAGACTGTTTTTCCAAAGTAGCTTTCAGAAGCTCTTCTCCCATGAAGATGCTCCAATATTACACTCTTTACTTGCTAAGGGTATACAGGTATGATAGCCAAACAGGTTGGAGTTTAGTTTATTTTTCAAAAGTGGAACATGCGATTCTCTGATGTACAATCGAGAAACATAGTCCATTACGTCATCAATGTCCAATGAATGGATGGTGATGGACCCACCAAGAGAAGTTATGACCTCAATGGTGGTTTCCATTCTCTTTCCCCCACATTCCATTTTAATGGACAGCAATGACCTTTGAACCGTGGTTGATCCAAATTCCTTTCCATTTTACAAATGCCTCTATCTTGTTATGTTCTATTGACACCTTTATGCGTCCAGAATGTATCTGATGAAGAATATTTGTATGCGTTGAGCAGATTTCACATGGAACAGATTTGAATCTGGGAATCAAGAATGCATCTCTTTACCTAAGAAGGGTTTTACACATGTATCCTGATAGTAATTTGATAAGGTAAACCAAGTTTCTTTCCTCTTGCTTGATAAAGTTCAGAAAATTTGGAAAGGGTAAGTATGCCATGGTCAGCCTATGCATGGTTACATTGACCAGTATTCTCGACCAATGACATTCACCTTGGCATGATTAATCTCTAGCATCCATTATTGAGGACTGACGGTGAATGTGCTGATGTGTATCATATACCGTATACAGGTTTTTTATGTTGTCCATTCACTCTGAAAAATATTATGGCGCAAGCTGTAATCCAGTGGATAATCTCAATTTCTATGTTAGAAACGTGGTTCTAAATCGGTAACAACATGCTTATAGAAGACAAAAGTTCAATTCTCCTGTCTGATGCATTGCCCATTCTCTTAGCTCCACTCCTGTTAGGGATCTATTGTGAGAGTACCTGGAGCAGATTTCAATAAAGTTTGTCAAATCTTTACCTCTTTGTTTGCTTGATATAGTAAGAGTAGTGTTGAATGGATGATGCTGGGCAATGGGGCTGCTTATGCGTGTATGCATATCTACATGCATATCTCTTGTCTTTGTTGGGTTGTTTTAGGATAGTGTTGAATGTACAACTCTGGGGCAATGGGGCTGTTTATGTATGAGCAGGGTATGTGTGTATTCTTACATGTATGTCTCGACTTTTTATGCAGAAATGTAATTCATGCATCATATACTTGCAAATCTTACCTTATCCTCCATATACTTGAGAGAGTGGAGCATTCACATGGTTCTTTGTTTGAAGTTATATGTATATGTTCATGGCTTGTTGACGGAATTTATATAATCAAACCATGAAAAGACTTGAACTTCCTAGAGGATAGCTTCTCCATGCATCAAGGTACTCCATGGGTTTGTGAGGGTTAGAGGTGAACTAGGAAGCACATATTTCATCCTTACAAATATCGTTAGTGCATTTTTGGCGAGAGTACCATGAAGATTTTAATAGCATATGTTTTTTAGTGGCAATTTATAGGGAATAGAATTAAATTAGGAAACTATTATTTATGAGATAAAGTTTTTATTTATGAATAATAAATTTGATTTTAGATTGATAGCATAAAAATATTTTAAATAAAAACTATGAATATATTTTATGAAAATTCCACTCATCATGAAAGAGCAAAGTTGATGAAATTTTAAAATTCCAATAAAAATATTCACCAGATATGGTGGACCTTTCTTTTAGAAATCGATAATGTAGATGTTCTTTTCTTAATACTATATAGTAAAGCCTTGGGATAAGCACATGACCATTAAACTCCCAAGTTAATTCGGTCATAAAATTTAGTGTGGTTACTTACGTGTATACTAAATAAGGGAGTAATGTAAATTTTTTCAATATTTAGTATAATTACTACTCGCCTCTCTCTCTCTGCATGTGTGTGTGTGTGCTCCCGCCCATGCACGCATGTGTGCACATGTCCATGTGGATACTGGACGGGCACAAAGAGAAGAAAGCAAGAGGGATCACTTTTTGTGGGATTGGCTTTATAGGATACAAAGAGTACACAAATAATGGAGTGTTGTGATTCTTTCAGAAAATCAAAGGGCCTTGATGGTCTTGTGTAACAGAGAAATGGACAAATTGAGACAATTAGAAGATAATGCACAAGTTAAGACAATTATAAGATAATATGGATTTATGTATGGGAGCGCTTTGATGCACCTGTGTGCACAAACAATGGTGACCCCAATCACCATTTATTGATGGGGTGAGGCACCCAAAATACATCCAAGATGTCTTCAAATTATTCTTTGACATGACAAAATGGATTTGGAGGTCCTAAAACCTCCAACTACTTTAGATCCACCATTCAATGAAATGGATGGTTCATGTTTCATGTTAAGATGATGGTGGAAATGGATCACTTTTAGAGTTCTAAACTCTTTTTTTATGAGAAGATTTCTTTTGGAGGTGAGGGAAGGGATTTTGGAGGGTATTTACCTAGAAGATTTTAACAGTGTGCATTTCTTGTACCAGGTTACCAATAATGAGTACCTATACATGACCATTTTGGGGACTGTCACTTACATACTTGTACAAATAGAATAGCAACTCATACTGACTGAAGTAAAAACCTGTACCGATAACCGCTAGAAACGATTACTAATATGCAATAAAAACTAATACCAAGTAAATGATAATCAAAATATGTAGTTTTTAATGATGCATCATATAAAATGGCCGATTAAAAATAAAGGTCATATAGACTTCTAGTTCGAAAGTTAATTGTCATCTATGTAACATGGACACTTGTGCTTATAGTTTTTGGCATGTGCCAGCCTACCAAAACACGACACTTATGTTTGCTAGCTTTAGAAATTTAGACATTTCTTAACATTTTTGTTGAAATTTCACGGTAGAAGTACTTTTATATAGCCTAAAATCCCGCCTCCCGCTTTATCTAGATGTACAAATATGTCATGTCTAAAAAGTCATATTTGGAGTTGGTATTTTTAACACTCTTATCATTGATACAGATATCCGTTTTTTTCTAACATATGTTGTAAGTATAAGTAATATTACACTCAATTATATTCAAATCAGTCAGTGATGTTATTCCTAACAACGTACCAATATTTTTTCTTGCTACATGTCAGTGCATACCAAAACTGTGTACCAATTGTATAGAAACCCATATCATCTTTTCTAGAAACTGTACCAATGCGCATTTCTGTAAAATTGAACCCAAAAACTTTTTCACCCTTGTGTACCAGTAGTAATCGTATGTACTAATACCAGTGCCTGTACCAATATCTGGCAGCAATGGTTTGGAGTTTATCTTGCCTCACCACATCAGAAATTGATGAATGAGATGAGGGGGCATGGTTATTTGCTGCCCCCGTTGGAAGCATCAGACATCTCGCTCTCTCTCTCTCTCTCTCTCTCTTCCCATACAATACTTAGTTTTTTTATGGCTGGACTAGATTTGTTTCTTGGCTTGTCTAACTAAACAAGTCATGCCATGCATTGTCATGCTCAAGCTCACATCTCCTTAATGAAACCAAGCTCAAGCTAGATGGTTGAAGCTTGACTCAAGAGCAAAACATGCTCAGCGTAGTCCTCAAACACATGCAAGTAAATCTTGAGCATGTCCAGGTTCAGCCCATTGTGGCTCGTTCACACTGTGTAACCTAGCTTTAATGTTTTTTTTTCCCCCCTTTTTAAGGACACCTATCAATTTCCAATATAAATCCTACTTTATTTAGGTAAGTTGCATGTTTCCCTTTTAAAGCTAATTTTTGAGGTAAGTGATGTATTGCTTTTTCGAAATTTAAAGTTTCGCATTACTAATTTAGTTCTGACACTGCAATCCTGTTATTATTGGGAAGGCTTTCTGCTCCGATAATAATGGGTAGTGTTAAATTATCATGATGAATTAATTTTACCAGGATAGAAAAGTTATTACTGTATAATAACCTATCATAATAAATTTCTGATAAAAATAAATTGCTGGCCATATCATTTATAATTCTATATTATGTTCTTTCCTTTAGGGATTTTTATCCTTGGTGCACCCTTTATATCTTATCTGGATGTCTTGTTCATTTCTTGTACCTAGTCTAGTTGTGCAAGTAATTAAGAATATCTCATGTCAATGAAAATGGATGGAACTAAGGAAATTTATCTTCTGTCATGCCTGTACCATTTAATTTCAGGGCTTTCGTAGTTGGTGGGCTTCAATTCTCTTTTCCTATTTGCTAACCTTTGATCTATCAATAAATGCTTTGCTGAATTTTTTTTATCTGCTAATTCTACTCATGGTCATGGGACTATATGTTGTCTCTGTATTTGTGCACACTTGACATTGATGTGTTGGTTTATGCCTACTATAGTCTCTTATTAAAACTAAATTGGTTTAGGGTTAAAAATTATCATGATATTTTATCTTTAAATGTTTGTATGGCAGATTTAGTTAACATTTGGCTTGCTTTCTGGCAGGAACCAACTTGCTTTCCTTCTATTATCCAGCAGAGGTCCAACAGCTTCTCACACTGCAATAAGATGCATTGATATGGACCCACATGCACAACCTGTGGCCAAAGGCTCAAAGTCAGCATTTGAGATTCTAGGATCAGCTGCAGTTTCATGTTATGATTGTTGCACCTCGAAATCCAAGTTATCTTTTCAAACATGTAAACATAAGTTTGGGACAAGCTCAATACAACAATTACAGAGGTTTATTTTTTCTCTCGATTATTTGCACCAAACATCTTTCTTATTAGAGAATGCAAATTTCAAATTAGTTTTTGGCAAGTATTTACATAAACCATGCAGGTCCCCAGGAACTTTAATTTTACAGTCGTGCCTGGTTTGGCCATTTTTTGAAATGAGTCCTGTACCAGTAGTATTTTGTTAGGTACTGAGGCCCCATTTGAGCAGATGAAATCTTAGGAATAGTGCCTTTTTTCATCCATCCATTTAGGATTCATAAATGTCCTAGCTTAGACCCCCACCTTTCACAGCTGGGCCTGTTTGTTGTAACCATGCTTATCTAGATAAAGCTGCCCAAACGCCCCTTTGACTTAAAGAAAAAGTGAACGTGTTTTTTGGTCTATTCTCAAAATAGCAAATACAGTTTTCCAGGATTGCTTATAGAGGTAAGCAGGTATAAATTCTTTGATCTGTCTATTGGCACATCCATGCAGGGGCCTTATGTGCTATATGTTAAGTATCTGATTGGGGGTAAAATAATCATTTTTTAAAGGAAAAGTTGTTCGTGAGTCAGAGGGTGTGTGAGTCGATTTTAAATGTTGAAAATTTTATTCTATTTTTCATAGTCATGATCATCTTTTCCTAAGATCATGAATCCCTAATATTTGTTACTAAAATCCATCTTTAAGATAGATTTGAGAGGGGACCCACATATGTGCAATATGAATCAGTTGACTCATAGAAACCCATCCTTTTTTCAACAGATGTTGTATCTATCGGAACTTTTAAGGTTCTGGATCATCTCCGTGATTTATGCAGGTGTTCCTGGTTTTTTTTCGATTGTTTCTTTAGAAGTAATCATTCCACGCTAAAATTTTAGTTCCCCCGGAAAAGAAGTCATTTGCCAAGACATCGTTGCCTTTGATTTACTATTTGATGACAATTTGACAGTTTGTCTAACCATCATGTGGTAGGTGGTTGCATCGGTACCCATGGAACCGCAAGGCAAGATACTTTCTTATTCTTAATCTCTTCCAAAAGGCTCGTGAAGAGAGATACCCTCGCCATCTTTGTGATAACCTTGGGCGCCAACTAACTGTTGCTCTTAATGACCAAGGAAATCATGTGGAGATATATTCATCTTATCAGAAGTTCCAACTTCTTTTATGTGCTTCTGAAATAAGCCTTCAAATTGGAGCCTCTTCTGATAGCAAAGCTTACGCAACAAGTGCTCTGGGCATTCCAGTACCAAACAGTGTGCTCTTTTTTGGACACTTACAATTAGGTCGTATACATGCAGCATCTGGGAATATGGCGGGCCTAAGAGAAGAATGCAGCCAGTGTTTGCAACTTGGGACCAACTTTGAAATAGGGTGGATATCACTCAAAATGATTGGGACTAGATACAAATTGCAGATAAGTATGGATGAGATTGATGCTTATTTTGAGGCTTGCCTCAAAGAGAAAGATGAGAACTCCCAGAGCATGTGGAGGGCAATAATTGCCCTAGTGGATGGCCAGGGTTTCATTTTGGATAATGATCTTGATAAGGCGGAACAAGCTCTGGCTCATGCTTGTTCTATATGGGACGAAGATAGTTGCCTTCATCTTGTTCATGGTAATTTATCTTTCTCAAAATGGTTAAACTATTGCTTCTATTATTGTTATTGTTTGTGAAAACAGTTTATGTTCCATAAATATTGGATTTATTGATGTCATGTGCAATTTTGGAGAATGAGAATTTCAGTGATTCCCTTGCATCTAAGTTTTTTTTTTGGGTAAGTCAGTGGGGATTTGGGCCTCTACCTGTTTTTCATTAATAAGTAAGAGTGTTATAAAAGAATAAAGAGTTTATGGTACAGTTCTTTCATTAGAAGTCCTGGCATATAAGTTCAATGCTTGGGTGTCATTGACTTGAAGAAAATGAGCCGTTCTAATTACTTTTGTGTAAACCTTTCGGTACTAGTTATTAGATAATACAAGTGAGAATTTTGTTCCAGTATACTTCTAAAATAAACTTTTTGATGAATGGGTCTTTGGACAGGTGCAATTTGTTTGGAGCTTGCAAGGCAACGATCTGGCTCTCAATTCTTATCTCAAGCATCGGAGAGTCTTTCAAAAGCTCAGGAAAATTCTGATTCACGTTTACCTTTTGTCTCTGCTTTGTTGGCTCAAGCTGAGGCCAGCCTTGGTGCCAAAGCCAAGTGGGAGAGAAACCTGCAACTTGAATGGATGTCTTGGCCTCCAGGTAGTCCATGCATTAAACGAGTAAGAAAGTGTGTGATAATCCTCATGTTTATGGAAAATCCAATCTTTCGGTCTTCACCATCCAATCGGTTGTCGACGGTGATGATGAGGGGCCTGCTAAGACATAGCTCCAATGGTTGGGGCTCTCTCTCGCCATCACCATTCAATGATTGATTAGATGGTGTTTACCTGCATGACAATGGAATTTCCATAGCCAAGGGTATACTATTATACTTCGAGAAATATTCATCTACTGCATTTCTTTTATGTTAGAAAGAAAAATGAAAAGTATTCTATAACCAATGGACCATGGAAAATCACTGCCAATGGGGTTCATGGTCCGACAAAATGATGGATATAGAGCTACCTGTCATGGGCATCGGGTCATGCTCTAGTAGGTCCAATCTCTTTAATCATCATCTATCATTTTGTTGGACGGTGTGACTAAAGTATAATAGATCAGAGTCTGATAGATTATAAAATACTTTCTTGGAAGAAAATGTCCACCTGATCCAGTTTGATGTTTAAATCTTTGGAAATTGACATAGTGACATCTCTTTGTAGGGATTTTCTGGGGAGATAGTTTATAGGGAGATTTTTCAAAATTCTTATTCTTTTTTTGGGAAAATTTTGGGGTGTTTATATGAAAGGGAAAATTATCGAAGCAATGAAAACTAGAAGGAACTAGATATCATGTGTGCCTATGGTATTTTTAAGATAACTTTGTTATGAATATAATTATCTTTTAGTTTGTTTTGGATTCCATGGCTAAAAGAAGCTGCCCTTTTAGAAATGACCAACCTCAAAAATGAATTTTGGAATTTCTACTAAACTTAAGGCTATAAATAAATGGCAGATACTCAAACCACAGGTGTGCTCCTTTCTGTTTGGGAGAACTTACCACAGCCTGTGTTGTAGGCTACACTGGTAATGCATCCAGCGTTCTTAATGGCGGATGGTGGAGATTAAGCTTGGCTTCAGCAATGGACATTCACGTAGGACTAGGGGTGATAATCAGGTTGGTTACCTGCTTATTCTGGGTCTGGAGCTGCCTGCTGGGCCTGCTGGGCTTGCAGGTCAGGTCTGGTTCCACTTGGCCTGGACCTTATTTGGTTTGGTTCTAGCCCATACCTAACTAGGTCAGGTTGGGCTTTGGTGCCAATCCGACCAGGAAAATATAGATGACCAGGACCACCCTATTTGGCAGGTCAGGTTTGGGTCGGGGCTGATCCAAAACCCGGACCCGACATGTTTACAGGCCTATTAGGACTACGGTTAATCTCAACCATCCATCATGAGAAGACATGGTGGATCCGACGGCAAGCAAATCTAATAAAAAAATCAGGTTCTTGGTCTCATGCTTTGTCTTGTAACTTCCAGAGATGAGACCAGCGGAGCTATATTTTCAGATGCATTTGCTCACCAGGCAATCTAAAGCATCATCAGATACATCAAACAGCTCGGAATCGAATAAAAGCTCAATGCTATGGATCCTTCGAGCCATACACTTGAATCCCTCTTGTTCAAGGTACTGGAACGTTTTACAAAAGTTAAAGAATGAATTCTTCTAAAATTGTGGCAAGTTAGTTTCTCTGATTCAAGAGTTCTGTTTGTGTGAGCTTAGTTCTCATTGTATTGGATTAGAAATAATTTTCTTGTAAAACACATCATTGTGCCTTCTAATTTATTGTACATCTTTGATGGGTTTCTTTCTCTGGAATCCTTTGAGAGGGACTATATAGCAAACGGGATTGAATACTATGAGACCATTTATCTTTTTTAAGGGGAAGTCACAATTAATCATAGCCATTGGATGTCAAATTGGATGACTTGATTTTGTCATAAAATTCTAGAAAATTTGTTTAGAATTGAGTCTAGTCAATAACATGCTCACGACCACCCAATTTTAAATTCAAAGGACAAAAGTGATTGTGACCTCCTTATACGGTCTCTTTGTATACTTTTCCACAACAAAATTATTTATTTGAAAACACAATTTGTGTGTGAGAAAGACTTGTGCATGGAGAGAGAGAGAGAGAGAACACAATTTGTGTGTGAGAAAGACTTGTGCATGGAGAGAGAGAGAGAGAGAGAGAGAGAGAGAGAGAGAGAGAGTAGTGT